GTACATTGTACTCTTATTTCACATGCTGTTCGTAACAACTGAAGGTACTGTTGGCAAAAAACCAATGCATTAGATACTAATTACTAGTTTCCACTATTTTTCAACAGATTTTGTTCAGATTTTGATAGAGTTCCATAGTCAACAAGTTACTTTAAATATTTACATATATTGCTTGCAAATCAGGGCTCAGGAGTTAAAAAATGTATTGATTTAAAATCTTTGACTCTGTAAATAGCGATTTTATTTTCTCCTGAAAAGTTTGATCGACTGAAAGCAACAAGCAATCTTTGAATCCATCATTGCAATCCTGGCAGGGGGTTTCATTTTGCTTGCATATAACGGTAAGAGGCTCTAATCCGTTTCTGTACACATCTTTTCTTCACATGCAGACAGTTTGAAAAGGGAGATAGATACGCTCTGAGTAATCCTGTCCCATTAACTTGAATACTCCGAGAAACCCCTCTGCGACTGCTCCACAATTTACCTGACAGTCTTTCGTTCGGGTGAAAGTTTAATCCCCTGTTCTGATTTTTGTCCCACACATTCTGTTAAAGACGTGAGACGACTCTTACTATCATGGATTTAAAGGTCTGAGCCTTCAGACAATAAAGGAATTGCATTTTGAAAGAAAACCTAATATACAAGAAATCCCAAGTTACAATGAAAACTGCAAAGCTACAAAGGGGCACTGTTTGCCAGTTCAGGGCTTTCGGTTCTTAAAAAGTCGGAGAAGCAAATTGATTTTAACCAAAACTAAAAGCTGTGGGATGAAATGTGGATTTATTTACTTTGATACATCTTTGGTCACAAAACAAAATTACAAGTTTCAAAACAGTTTAATTTTGTACAATTAAGCCCATCAGGTTTACTTTTCGTTTGGTTCTTGTTACAATTTTATAGTAAGGATCTTCATTTGCAGAACTACAAATGAAAAATTTATGATCACGAATCGGGCAGTTATTATAAAAAGTGATGTTTTGTTGAAGAAGTCAATTTCAACGGTTGCTGGTCGCTAGATATTTTACCTCATAGTCAAGGCATAACTTTGAATATTCCGTCATGCCCTGTGTAATTTTTTTAAATCATCATACATAACAACATGATCCCCAGAAATGACAATGTAATATACTTGAACTGAAACATTATGCTGATTTATGCTCTTTCTAGCGAGAAGATCAACATGAAGTGCGTGGTACGATTCCATATTCACATACAGGTGGATTCCCATCACGCACACACACACACACATGCTGAGTGCACTACCCCACCGTCTCAGAGTACAAAATAGACTGCAAAATACCCTAGGCCTAACATGCGTGCCTGTACCCTGCCCACATCAATTTTCACTCCTCATGTAATTTCTTAGCGGTAACACAGCTCTAACTTAAAGCCCCGGCGTGCCCAACCTGATTTTTCCCGCAATCCACTTGGGAGATTCCATTCTGCTGAATTCACAGTATCCTAGACCGTGGGGGTTTTCAGGGTCCGATAGTACTTGTCTGAATCCATTGAAATCGGAGTTGCGTTTTATTGGTCTGATAATTCCTGGCATCGATGGAGGTGCACCATGGGCCCTGTTCTCATGGCGGGGAGGGCTGGTTCGGCGGTGACCTTCTCCTAGTGTTCCCTTGGATGTATCCTGCTGTTCCCAAACCAGATGGTCGGGTCTCTTGTTGTTGCTCAATGTCTGGGAACCATTTAGTTTTTTCGGTGAGGACACAGGGTTATTTTGTTCCTCGGAGAATAAGAGCCTGTTCATTTTGGGGTGTGCAGTTGTATATCAGTGAAACAGGTGGTAATCCAAAAAAATAGCTTCTGAAATTCAGACCAGAAGAGCAGAATGTGTTCACTTGGGTTTTTTGTTTGAATGAGGTTCTCTGTTTTATGTCCCTTTTTTTTTCAAGTCCTAAACTGCAAGGAAAATTATGATTTTTATACATTTTTTATATGATTATTTTAAAAATGTAAATGTCAAGACTTGTCTCTTTCTATTCTGGATTTTTCTTTTTGCCCGAAATGTTAGCCAATATTGGGTTAGGGAAGGAATTTCTCAAAGAGAATCATTAAATGTCACCAAAATTCTAGATTGTGAAAAACATTATAAGAATGGAGAAATAATCACAGACTAAGTCTCAGATAATTTCATTGTATACAATGTCTTTTAGAGTGTTTTTTAGTGCCTCAAGTTATTTAAATTTGTGGAATGGAAACTGTATTATGTCATTGCACTTTCGTGTAAGTGGGAACAGAATGCATTAAGTTCAACTGTGTATTGGCTCATATGAGAATGTACCCGACTGTATTTGTTTGGTACCTGTTAAACAAAGTTTCAGATGTTGTCATGCATGGAGTGCCCTCCAACTTTCTTTTGAAAAACCAACATGCATGTAGGTTTCTCTGCCCATTGCATTCATGAGAATTAAGGGTGCGGTAGGGACACAGTACAAGTACAATGGAGTTTGGTTAGGTTTGCTCAATGGTGTAACAATGGCATTTGCCTAAATTTGAAGGCCATTGTGCATACTGTACATGTGTAGTATTATTGTGTTCTGAATTGAAGCCGTGTAATAATACATGTATATCCTCATACATACACATTTTTTTAAAAATTATACGTGTGTACATTTTTTTGTATGTCACTTGTCACTGTGTTGAGCAATTTCTGGATCTATACATTCACACATGTAGGCCTACCGTACCTTCTAGAGTAGGTTGTCTGATATGGGTCAATTCTGCATACAATGTACATGTAGTTGGTGTACAAGTTGGGAGCCTTTACATTTTAGTTACAGTAAAATCAAGCTTAAGTGCAAGTTCTGATAATAATTATTCTTGATTAGTACTGAAGTTTGAGTACTGCTAGTATACATGCTACAATACTGTCCAACTTCTGACATCCATGAGTTTTGCATTACAGACAACATAAAATATACACCGAAAGTTTTGTTTAAAAACAGGCATGCAAGACTGATATTTGATGCCCTCAGACATCTGCACACGCACACCATAATTGATATGATTAACAGTACATGTTTTATGCTTGGTTAATCTCCAACATGGCGTCTTATTACATATTACAAGTCATGCCAGGCTATATATCACCCACTGCTGTCATCTGGCTGCCATGGGTGCAGTATTTTGAGAAGACCTGTTAACGTAGCGGCAGTTTTTGTTACTTCACCTGGGTCGTATTATAACCTTTTCAACCCAGGAGGGTTTTGTGGTCATACCTGGGCCGCACCTGTACAATACTAGAATTTCTCCATGATGCTGGGGATCTGTATCCTAGTCCAAAGGTGGATCAAGAAAGGTGGATCAAGAAAGGTGGATCAGATCCTGATCAATCCACCTTATAACAGTTAGCGTTCCCACTACACACAATTGCCGGATCTGATCCACCAATTAGGGGATCTGATCTGGCAATTTGGCAAAGGTGGATCAGATAGTAGGATCAGATCCCCCAATTGGTAGATTTAGTGGGAACGGGGTCCAAGTCACAACTTCGCCAAGACCAGGGGTCGGTATCAAGGGGCTGCTGAAGACAGAAATTTGCTTAGCGTGGAAAAATATTTGCTTAGCAAAAACTGGTTACCAGCCAAAAAGTCATAAGTGTACATTTGGTTGTGACTGGTTCTCCGCTAGTTTCTGCTTAGCACATAACTTTGCTAAGCTATATTTTCTGCTTAGAAACTCCACAAATTTGGTCCCTGAATTTCAAATTTCAACCAGCCATCAGAAATTTTTTCCGACTTTTACAATATTTATCTGAGAAAAAAATGCACTGTACTTCGTTTCTAAATTTGCTACTCTGTATAATGTGTAACAGCACAAAATTGATTATGCTACTTCTTTTTTTTTTCTCTGAGAAATGTTTGTGTCTAATGTCACCCTCTGGAAGATCACTTTGTAGTTTGAAACTTTTATCGTCACAAATCAGGAGGGTAAATTCATTTTTCAGACGACACATCCTGTCTGCGTTATTCCAACAAACCCCCCTCTGAAATAAATCATTGTATTGTGATGATAACCCAAATGGACTGGATGAACAATGGTAAAGCCCAGACATAGCGAGACAATGGGTCTTAAAAGCCAAAGCAAACATGGGGAAATGTTTAGGGTCATTGACGATAGAGTCTGCGTATTGTGATCATGACCTTGCACTGTATGCAAATCAGGGGTGTTACAAATTGAAAGTAGATTTTTCTGTGAGAACTGTTTCCAGATGAAGTGGCGAGCGGAAAGATAAATATAGGACAGGGTCAGGGATCCCAAGTAAAATTTCATTTGGAATTTCATCTTGTTCGTGCAGGCAGGGTCTACCAAAACTTTTGTTCCCTTGAAATCTATTTTGATCTACATGACGTCAAGCTTCTCTGTCCACTTTTTCAGTGATAAGGAATACATTTTAAGTGCTTTCTAGTTTATTGCTTTCTTTATGTATGATGTAATTTTTGTTTATTTGTTTGCATCATCTCGTTATCGTCTGATATTACAAAACAAGAATCTCATCAAAACGTGATAAATAAATAATTAACATTATTAACGAATGTAATTGTCCAAACTTTATGGTGAAGTTATAGCTCTGCTTTGTTCTGTAACATGTTTGAACTTACCTGCATGATATGTTTTTTTTGGGGGGGGGGAGGGTGTTCCAGATTTTGATGAGGTGATAAAGAAATCGTAGTTATGACTAGCTGCCGCCATTTTCACAGACATTTGGGGCATCAAACCAATATCAAGGTTGAAACCCTCCCCACAGTGAAATGTTTTTTAAATAGGTTGATCGATTGTGGATTTGTCGACACTCAGTGCAGTGAATACTTAAGTAAAATTGCAAACAAGCTTGGAGATGGATTGAAGCGGTGTTTTTTTTTCAGGAATTCTTGCAACTGGGCAAAGCAAAGGGTGAAGGTGTATAGACATGTTTGTTTTCTCAGTTTGAAGAGTATACATGGCCTTTCCGTTTATCAAAAGGCCTCATACTTATCTCTCAAATAAATATGTCGTCACAACTGCTTCAACACTTGGGGATCCTCAAGTTTGATTTCACTGTTGCCGTGGCGATGAAGGCTATTGTAGCAAGTGCAAACCCTTGGATCAAGAGCCTCTGATACTTGATAGACACCCCAAAAATCAAAGATTTTTAAGAAAACTTGTTTTATTTCAAAACAAAAATTATTGTTTTCAATGTTTGCATAGTAGTGACAATTACAGTATTACCATGTTTTCATTTGTGAAAACTGTACTGGTATTTTATGCAATACTTTGTTAAGTGGTAGTTTCACTATCGAGCGGAAGTTTGTTCAGTGCAAATAATGGTTAAAGTCCACTTATAATTGCTTTTATAGAGTACACGTGGACCATAGATAGCACGTGCTTTATAAACTTACAAACAGGTGCCCCCTACGCTTTTTTTTTTTAATCTATTGGCATTTCCAGCAGAGTCACTGTGATCTGTTCTATTTGCCTAAACTAAAACCACATGTCCATGCTTTTATGATATCATAATTTCCATAAATGTTGTTGGAAAAATCTGAATTTCAAGTGGCCAATAAGTCCTTATATTTTTGTTTGGCTTGAGGCGGAAAACTGCACAGTGGGGGTTGGTTTCCAATTCCGGTCAGAGATGCTTCCACATCCAAATTGTACCCCACCAGATTCACCAATATTTTCTCAAGATTAGGGGTTTTGAACAAAATAACCAGGTTTTGATATTCAGCAGGAAGATCTTCGTATTAAATTTCTTCAGAGGTTTCAAAGAGTTTTCAACAGGTTACACTCTATGATGTTGATGTAATAAATTCTGTATTTGACCTATGTTATTTTGGTTAAAATGTGCTATTTTAAATCTAGTGATATTTATTTTGTGTTAAAAAAATGTTCCCGCGCATTGTTCCTTGCGGTTGGGCCAACAGCATTCTTACAATGTCTGTTTCCATTTACAAAAAATTGTTACTCATGACTGCAGAATTTTAATGGTTATGACAGTTTAAACAATGCGACATGTATAAATTCTTCTTTTCTTTTTATTTCACGGTGCATTGAGAAAGTCGGCTGAATTTGCTTTAAAAAAATAAATTCCAGAAATTCACAGATTAAAGGGAATATACATCATTTGCTTTTGCTGTAATTTTCAGAAATGGAGGAAATTGGGGGGTTGGAAATATATAGCAAATATAGTTACACTGACTTTTTTGAGGTTTTGGGTTCGAAAATGCTATAAAAACCGAGAAAAACAATCATTTACCTGTAGTTTGGCTCCCTGACTCCATATAAGAAGAAACGAGCAGTTTACATACATTGGGGAATTGTAAGGTCAGGGAACCAGTCTAGCTGGCTTGTACCCGTTCATAGGTGTGTAATCGATTGTAAAACAAGTGCGATGGTCAATTGGGGCCAGTATTTGAAAAAAAGCCAGTGTTTTCCAACGCTGGTCGGCCGACCAGCGTTGGAAATTGATACAAAAATACCACTTTTCTTGAAAGTGACAGTATACCAGGTGCCATGATTTTACAGGATGCTTTACACTGTCATTCACTAACAGTCCAGCAAGGTATTTCAAAATGATTTGGTAGTTTTATTTTTTGATGTTTGCAAATGTTGTATTTTCCCTTTAATCAGCATAACAAATAAAGCAACACAGATTTAATGAATTCCAAACTTCTTTCTCCATTTCTTCTGCAGGTGCGACCAAGGATCTGGGTGCCTCGCTGACACGAATGTGCATCCGACATAAGACCATCGAACTCAAGCTCAAGTCTTTCACTAAGTAGGTCACGTAAAAAGCTAATGCTTAATCAAGTAGAGAAAGTTAAGCCAATTCCACGCAGGGCAATACTGCAAATGTTATTAGAATGTGCTTAATAATAATTCATGCATGCAGCCATTTTCAACTGGTTGTGTACAAACCCGTATAATAACATCTTTGCAGTAGAGAAATGTACTTAAGCATGGATCCGTAACAAAAATATTGGTAACTATCAAGGAAAAGTGCAAAATACCAATTATGAATGAATTATTATGAATAAAGTGCACGCATACTCTTTTAATGTTAAAGATGTTAACAATCATGAGTCTGAAGATGATAGTTAGAACATACTGTCTGAAACTTCAAATTTTGCTCCAGTTCCCTAAACCGCACAAACAATTAAAGAGGTTTCTTGTGAAATGGTGCTGCCGCAATTTTCCTCTTATTGGTGACATCACCGTGCAAACCTTCAGATCAAATTTTAAATGAATTCTCTTTTTTTTTTGTTATATCTCAGTGCCATCATGGAGTGTCTGGTAGTTCCCCTCCAGGAACGCATGGAGGAATGGAAGAAGATCACTACGCAACTGGACAAAGAACACGCAAAAGGTATCCATGTCAACACAGCAGTGTATTAGACTGGAGATACTTGTGGTGATGGATCACAAGTTCATCACAAATCATCACAAGCCCATCACAAGTTCATCACAAGTCAATCACAAGTTCATCACAAGTCTATCACAAGTCGTCACAAGTCAATCACAAGTCAATCACAAGTCATCACAAGTCCATCACAAGTCAATCACAAGTCCATCACAAGTGCATTACAAGTCAATCACAAGTCATTACAAGTCCATCACAAATCATCACAAGTCAATCACAAGTCAATCACAAGTCATTCAGTCCCAAGTCAACTCACAATCTATTCAAATCAGCTTCATATCAAGGCATTCCTTTGTTCTTGTTCATCCCCTGGTACTTGTGACTGGAATAGTTAATCGTCTTGCGATTTACTTGTTACTGGACTTGTGATGTTCCCTTGATCCGTCACAAGTAGCTTGACTACAAACAGAGTGGCTTGTTCATGTATCGTTTTGGCCTTCAGACAAGTAGCGTCAGTTCTTTGAAGACTGTAATGTCGAGACACTATGTTCAATTGGCCTGGCTTGGCTACGGTTTGCATTGACACATGCACCTGTGGAAGCGGCTTAAGCCAACTCCCATAGACAGGTGTGTTACTGCTAGCCATAGCCAAGTAATTCAGATGCGGCTTTTTTTGAGGGCTGCGTCCAAAATGGGTATTTTTGCCTGTGGCTGCGGCTTACCACTGTTGCATGTCAGTGTCTTAGCCACTGTTGCACGTCAGTGTCAAAATCCATAGCCGTAGTCAGACTCAATCCAACTTTCACACTACATCTTCATAAATTTGATACTTCCCGTGAGAATTAAACCCTCTTCCTTCATGAACATCCTCCCCACATCCAAGTAACAATGGGACTAAATCATCCAATCCGTCCACACTGTATAAATCAGGTTGGAAACACGATACACATTGAGTGAGGACAGATCTCTTCAACACGTCCAGGTTTTAGGCTAGTTTATACTCTGTCAGCACCTTTATAAATAATTTGGGACCCTGAGAGAAGATAGTCATCAGGTCTTGGCCTGAAATAGAGAGTACGGTTGCCCGTGGGGGGATCCGGTCGTACATTATGAATCAAGACAATCCAGGTAGATGGATGATGAATGAATTACCGGGGATAGGAGCCAGTGGTCTGGGTACCGGTTCATCACGGTGTTTTTTTTCGTCGACAGACAAGATGTCAGTCCCTAGACGACCATTATTCGGTTTTGTGAGCAAAGCTTGGACTTGATCGTGATGAAGATATAGTGTCTGTCGAGGCTGGCAGTTTGTTCCTTAAGATTGAGGCATCTATTTTCATTTGCCCTATTTTGCATGAAGATAGGATCTGAAAAAACAATGTGATAACAGTGGTTTTTTTTGCGGTGACAGTGTTCTTTTTTCCACTCTATTTTCATACAAGATTCATACCAGCCAACTGAAAACAAATAACTCAAATTTAGAGGCTGGTTCATTATTCACATGAATTCACTTAAATTTCATGACGTCAACAATTGAAGTTTTATTGTAACATTCCCGTTGCCGTAATAAATTTGCTTCGCACTGTATTTTTATGTTTTATCCTTTTTATCATTGTATACATTGTTGCAATTTAGCCCTTGGCTATAAATACAATGTTTTTCATACACCAGAAAATAGTTTTTAAAAAAATTAAAAATGGGCCTTTAGACTGAAGAGACATTTGCTCTAAAAATCATAGAAAACAGTTAAAAAGCAGTTTTAAGTGTCACTGAGTATACAAAGAGCAAGCAGATGGCACCATACTCAGAAAATCAAATGCATAGTTTCCTGAATTACACTCGAGCACATCTGGGCATATAATTAGAATTACTGGCATTTATAGCAGTTCAGGATTAAGTGCAGCCTTGGCTGGATTGTATCGTCATAAAATATGCATTATGATTGAGTTTGCGCGTGGAGATGGATAGGTGCTTTATTTGTAGCTTGAACTTTTGTACAGAATTGATATGCCTGATTTTATTCATTTGGATTTTTTTCCGACTTTCATTGAGTAGTTCGGCTAAAATTTTACTTTGAATCTGTGCCTTATGACCCGATGCACCAAACATGACTGTCTTTGCAGTCTAAAATACATGTACGTGTACTCTTAGTCGTAGAATTTAGTTTATTGCCAGATTTTGAATCATTACGCCCCGCCCGGCACCCACTGCGCGCATGTGATACGCCTTTCCAATGCCATGCTGCAGCTGCACACATCATAAGCATGGGAACGCATGTCAGACAGTTTTGTGAACGTATGTCAGACTATTTTCTGAATGTATGTTGGACATTTGTGATCGCATGCTGAACTTTCGTGTGATCGCATGTTGGACATTAATCACAATTGTGATTGGCCAAAATACAATCAGGCAGGGCATTATGGATTATTGCATCTCAACAGTAATTCAGGTGGATCAGTTTGTGCATTATTTAGATGGTGCAAAAGTAATTCCAAATGAAAGCCTTTCCCAGAGGGTTGCAGAAGCACACTATCTCCCCCCTCCTCCACCCCCCCCCCCACCCCCCAAAAAGGTTTTAAAAAAAAAACCAAGTCAACCTGGTCCCTAATCCAGCTGCTTTGCAAGGTAAATAAATCCAATCTGCTCATAGTCTGGCCTTTTGACTCAATGAACTATATTCAGGGTAATGTTTGTTTTGACTATCCGCTGGGGTTATTGGGATTATTGATACTCACCTGTTGGGTACATGTATTGTTGTGTCATCTTTGATAGGTGAAACTTCACGTCTTTCAATAAGCGACCCATGGTGTTGTAGGTCGATGTTTGGCAAAAGTCGTTGATTGTTTTAAAATTATGTTCATCAACACTAATGTGTCAGTGTTTTGTAGACATAGAGTTTTGGATTATTTGTTTTGGCCAATTATATTGGGAGTGACACCAGTGACAAGTGGATTTGAATGTTTGAAATGGAGAAATATTTAATACGTGCATTTGTCTTCGTTCTGTAAGCTTCTTACATTTTAAAACTTGCTGTTTTTGTTCACTCTGGACCAGTTTCCATTCCTCTATGTTTTCACAGGTTGTGAATGATTTTTTGCGCAACTTCAAGCAATTTCTCAATTTCTTCATTTTTTCTTCCCAAACAGATTATAAGAAAGCAAGGCAAGATATCAAGAAGAAGTCATCTGACACCGTGCGGCTGCAGAAGAAAGCCAGAAAAGGTACAGGTCAAACAATATCTGGTTGTAAATTGAGATACACATCATGACTCATAAAAGGAAAACACTTCATCAACAACAGAAGGTTTCTGGGGGCAGTGAACGCCTTGCGCTTCCTAGTCGAATTTTGTGAGTTGTACAGAAGCGGCGATCGGAACTTGCGCATAATGGCTTTCCCGTTCCGTCATCGATACTTAACCCAGGGAGCAGCACATCCGACATCTAGGGTAGCGACCGATGACTTTATGTGTCAGGCACGCGGTGGTTGAGAGAAAGGATCTATCATGTTCTGCTACTAGCTCCCGATTTGATTTCACGCAGAGCCGTGACGTGTCGTAACTCATGTCACAGCTTGGGACTCAAGTTGCAATTGCGTCTTGTGGCGGATTTTACGGTCCATTTCACAAAATCCTCGATACGTTTAATCACTGCCAGCTTCTTAACCACGGCATGAAGTACGCCGTATATTATTCTGTTGCTTTGACTCATTGCAATGGAGTGTTGTTTTAAAAAGCCGGATTTATCAAATTACAAGTGAGTTCTCCTGTGGTAAACTCAAGAGGGCGCTGTCACCTAGCAACAAGAGCAAGTGGCCTGGCTCCCAATCTTCGTATTACGGGAACCAGTCTAGAAGTTTGGGTGTGCTATTGTCACACCGGAGAGTTATTTCATACCTGGGAAATATCCTTTACATGAAAAAATATGACAGTCACTGTTACGTTTTTAACAAACAGGTTATTTACGTGTAACCAAACTGTCCGTGTTTCTAATGACGTTGTATTTCAGCAAATTTTCTTTCATTTAAATCCAACCCAACTGCCTCTTCAGGCAAGGAGGATTCATCAATAAGACATCATAACGAGAAACTAAGTATGTTACTCATGTCATTCATTGGTCACTAACTGGTCATGATTTCACTGTTTCACTATATGCTATTGCACAGCATTGGAATATTCTCGGTTTCGCTTGTCACATTCTGTCACTCACTTGCATATTTTGTTCAATCGGTAATTTACTTTGTTGTGTTTGTTGAATTGTTCATTTGCCATAAGTTAAAATTGTGAAAGTTGGTTGTGGAGAGAATTTTTTGTATTCTAATGATAATTTACAATGTAAAACGCATTACCCAGACCCAATACAGTTGGTTAAAGACGCTCCAAGCTTAACATTTTCTGCACGCAATCATGTCATCGTTTCAGAAACATTGCATAAACAATGTCACCATGGTGATCTGTGATGAGATGGTTGAGTGGACAATTCAAATGGAGAATTTCTGTTCGATTAGCACCATGCAAATTGCAAGGAATCTTTGTATGTGTGTGTGTATTATGTACTATGGGACTGAAACACCTGCTAGTGTAACCCAGCTGTATCTAGATACCAAGTGGTTGTTCCAATCAGTCGGAAGAAAACAAACAAAAGATACAACAACCAACTCTTTTGTGTCTGTTTGCATATTGTTGGTCTGAAGTACTTCGCTTTTGTTCTGCTTTTCATACATCTTGTATGTCTTTATTTGTACTCTCCCATTACATATGTACCTTTGTACGTTTGAACTGGTGTGGTTATATTTTTGTTTATTCAAATTAAAGTGTATTACCATTTAGATCTCTGTTAAATATTGACAGTTCGAGAATTAAAATGGGAGTTTAGGGAATTCTTGCTTTGTGTTAATTAAATAGCTTACATTGCACTATTTTGAATTGAGTTGTGCATTATTTATGCATGTGGTTTTTAGCTTTTCATCACTTGTAGTCAGATCAGCACTTTGTACAAATTCTGGTGTTTTTTATATTTCATATGTGAATGTATCAGATGAGCTACATGTACAGTACATGACTTTTCATATTTAAATATCTACAATGTCAGACTTAGAGTTTAGTATAGAGTTTGGTTAGAAATGCTTCTTGTGTTTGTGACCTTTTTTCACAAAAATTACTTCGAAGCACAGACCATACAGTGCACATGGACTCTGTGTACAAGTACCCCTCATTGTTTCTAAGAAAGAGTTGAGGGAGGGACAATTGAATGCATTGCTGACGACGCCTAATGCTCATGCCAAGATGCTATGGGTTTCTGCCTAATCAGAATGAAATTAATCGTGCGTTCTCTGTGCCATAATGCACAACCCAATTCACGCAGGCAATGTCGCCCCTACATGCCATCTACTCATCATACTGTGCACATGATCGCATTAGTGGAGGGCAAAATAAGGCATTCAACTGTCATTTACACAGTTGGTGTTTTATTATTCCAGGTAAAGCTGATATCCAGTATCGCTTGGACAGCGCCATGCATGATGTCAACGACATGTACCTGCTGCTTGAAGAGCAAGAGAAGAACGCTGTCCGGAGTAGCATGATTGAGGAAAGAAGTCGATTCTGTACTCTCATCAGCTGCTTCAAACCAGTCGTGGTGAGTTGATCTGTTCATTACTCTGAACACATTATAGAGTTAGAAAACGATCAGCACATGGTTGTCATTTTGACCCCTGATGCAGGGTCAAATTAATTTACATCTTTTTACACATAAGTTAACATTGCATAAATGTATACAAACTTGAGAACAACCAATCAGATTACAGGATGGGCAGCATCGTAAAGGCACACACAACAACCAATACAATTTCAAAAAAACTTTAAGTTTGCTGCTGTTCCTCATACCAGTACACATTAGATATCAGACCAGGTCCCAGTCGAGGTTGTCATGTCCCCTTTTCCATGCCTTCCATTCTGAGGGTTCTAAAACTAAAAAGTCTCTGAATACATGCCAAACTAACCTTTTTCAATATTTTGTGGGTAGTGTATTGACCCTAACCTCACCTAAAGCTACAAAATATAATAGTAGTATGCAGTACTTCAGCATACAAGTGGGCACAGCATTCATAGTATTTTTTGGTATTTGGTACCTGCATACATAATTTTTGCTGTACTGTGTAGTACATGTGTGTACTAGGGGATAATGGTCATGTCGGCTTAAAGATGATTTTATTTATCACATTTTACAAAACTCTTACTTCAAATTAGGAATGGTAGCATAAGAAAACAAACTTAATAATTTCTTTGCCTTTTCACTCCTTGTTTCATTTAGGATGAGGAGATATCAATGCTGTCTGAAGTAACACGTCTTGAGTCAGTCTTGAGTGAGCTAGTGGAGCATGGCAAGGACCCCTATGTCCTGCCTCAGACCAGCGAACAGGTCATCATGGACATCAAGGGCCAAGAAATCAAGTGGTCATACCAGGTTGGTTGAAAATTGCTCCAGGTGATCCTTAGCTTCAAGTCCTACGAGTCCTTGCTCAAACTAAGTTTCAAGTCTAGCTTCAGTGACATTTTTTGTTATTCAGACTGCTACTCAAGTAACAATGAATGTGTCAGACTTCAATTTTGACATTGATGCATTTTTTACTTGTTGGCAAATTACGAATATTTAAAATATTAAAAATCTATTAAAAGCATTATTTGACAATATTTTGACCAATCCTTGGCACTTAACACAACTTTTACCATCTTAATTATGTGGACAAAAAAAACTGTGTGAAAATAAAATACTTTGAATACCATGAAGAAAAAAAAATATCTTTCTTAAGAAAATTGTGTTTTCTGAAAAGGACCGGTGGTGAGAATGGATCTAGACGTTAAGGACAGTGTGCTCTGTTCGTCCTCAAGTGAAAAAAAAACCCTGCTAATAAACCTAATTTAGCAGCAAATTTTTAAGTTGGTATTTCTAACCTTATTTCTCTATTAAAGATGTTCTTTTTAGGAACATTCCAAATTCCTCCAAACTCCACCAATGAGCAGGAACCAAGTGGTACAATCTTTGTGCTTAATCTTTCAAGGGGTGTTGAGTTCCATGTTAGGCAGCAGTGCATAGGCTGAACCGTCCTCAATCCTACAAAATCCTTTAAAAACTATCTGGTAGATTTTGAAGGATCTGGAAGGGTAAGAGGTCATATGCGACCTGTTCTGTCAAAATCAGACTTTTCTGGGCATAAGGTCAAAAATAAGATTTTTGCAAAATATTTACATTTAAATTTTTTAATATTTACATTTTAATTTTTGAAACCGGTCATTCCTGGGCAAAGTTATGCTATTTTGAAGTTCATCGTGTCGAAAAGTAAAACACAGAGAAAATGGCAGTTAAAGTTTGGGGTCTATTTTAAGACCTGTTTCTAGGAACGTTTCTTTAACTGATATACCTTAACAAATCATCAAATATACTATATTTAGAGTTCAAATTAGGGTTTTAAACTTTTATCGTAAATTTTAGACATGTTCAAGATTACAAATATGCAAAAATCAGAAAATCGAAAAGAAATCACCCCCACAGCGTTTTTTGGCCCTATCGTAAGTTCAACCTCTGCCCAGAAGCATCTGCTTTTGACAGAACAGGTCACATATTAAAGGTTCTTATTTTCGTATTTTCTGCAGACACCGCCTGGTTCCCCGTCCCCGTCCTCCGGTTCCCGCAAGTCCAGCATGTGCAGTCTGAGCAGCATGACTAGCTCCGACTCGCGCTCCAGCAGTTCAACCAACTCCCACTCGCCAGGTACCAACTACGTCCGGCACCGCAGCTTGTCGCAGCCCAACAGCGCTTACCGGCTGTCCAGCGTGTCTTCACAGGATTCCGGATTCACCTCGCAGGATATGCTGTTCCCGGCCCAGCCCGGTACCCCGCCACAGACGGTACCCGAAGAGCCTGCACAGGTTGGTTGTTCAAACCGATATTTTTTGTTTTTTGTTTTTCCGAACCCCAGACATTTTTGGAAATCTTCCTCCTGCCAAAATCCAACACTGTGCAGAAATCCAATTTTTCTGTTGGGATTGAAGCATAAAACCCTATATTTTACCCATGACTTTTCAACCTCTTGAACATGGAGTTATATTGCAATGTCCAGCTGCCCTGCAAGCTCTATGGTTGAATGGTTAAGACATCTGCACTGGTAAGCTGGAGATTGTGGGTTCGAGTCCCTCCAGTGCCAACATATGAAAGGCTCTTAAAGCACTGAACAGTTAATTATAATTGAACAGCTTTTTCGAGAAATTCATCACCCCATTGCAACACATCATCATCCACTGTTTTTTTTTTTCTCACAATTTTGTTCTGGAAAGGTCAATCCTCGTTACACCCACTGTATCTTAACGAAGCTTTTGGATCAAATGTTCCCTTCCGTTTTTCTCCCCTGCAGCAACGTCTTTTGCACAGCGCCTCAACCCCCTATGAACTCGAGCACCAGTCTTCCAGCGAATGCAGCACGCCTTCCTCCCCGACCCCGCCCCCTCCTACTTCCTCCATCTCCTCGTTCACCGTCCCACCCTCCCAAGCCCCTCCCCCTCCCAGCTGGTTGGTCAACTTCAGCCAAGCGGAGAAGCTACAGCGGCCCAAGAGCATCCCCACGCCGGTGACGTCGTCAGTTGGTAACCGGCCCCCGGCAGTTGCTGATAAGCCCCTGGTGTCCCCTAAGCCCAAGAGTGGTAGTGGTGACGCCAAGGGTGGCAGTGTGCCCTACGTGCCTGACTTCAACACGCCCCAGTCCAACCAAAGTAAGCTGGCTGAAAGAACTTTAAAAATTACTACATGCTGTGTACCTGAACAGTAGGTAGCACATTTAGCACCACTCGTGAAGAGCGGCAAAGAAAAATCATTGACAACTTTGGATTTTCTTTATAATTGGTTCCTTTGTTGTTTTGCTCATTAGTTGTGCCTCGTCCCCTGTGTGCCAGTGGACAAACACCAACCAACGCTGATCTATACCGTCAGAGGAGTGCTACACTACCGGCAAGAAGACATACACATGTGAGTAGGATATAGATTTTTGGTTTTTTAATTAATGTTCAAAATCCACCACTGCGCAGTATTCTAATGGTAGTTAACCCCTGTTTAAGACCGATATTGCCGAGTCACACTGAAGGCTATTAGGAGCTACTCAAGTCAACCCAAATAGAATTTGGTTTCAGCAGGCAAACTTTGTGCGTTAATGTTCCGTTATTAGACATAGTCTGAAGTCAAAACTGTTTGAATCGTTGAGCTCTTCATGTGCTTAATTAAAATCTTAGGAATGATTTGGTTTGACGTGACTCTGGAACACAATCTGTCCAACAGGTGCAAGACTTTGAAGGCACCCATCCCAAATGTGAAGTAATAGGGATTGGGCTTTACCCCTCCTAAATCCAACAAAATTTCCAAAACTTCCAGAAAATGTTGGACAGGTTATCATAAAGACACTGGTCAACCCTCCCTCTTAACAGTTTGCGGATGTCACTAATGTTGTTATGTCTCATTTGTCTCGCAGAGTTCAATGCCGTCGGCTTTATATTCTCTGGATTCGGACGGTACGACCAGCAGCCATGGATCGCTGAGCACGTCCAGCGGTTACAGCTCCCAGTCCACGACGGGAACCTACTCCGATGAAATGCTGACGTCACAAGGTGCGTATCAGACCATGGCCAAACGTCTTGGAGCTGCTGAGCAGGAAAAAACTGCTCAGTAAATTTATATACTAACGCCGTGTCCGAATTACATGGTTGTAGCTGAAAGTAACACGCACACTTATTATGGAAGCCACTGGCTAGCGGCTGCAACCACTTCCAACATACTCTTATGTTGTTGCCGGCCGTAGCCATGTGATTCAAACACGGCCTAAGTATAAATAACAGAGAACCAGTCGCAAGTGATGTACTGCTTGATATTTTAGCTGGTAAACTGTTTTTGCTTCGCCAATTTTCGGATGCTTTGTAAGTTTCTGTGCTTAGTAGCTGCATGAAATTGGCCTCAATAGATTGGGTGGAACTGTACACAGTATTGCTGATGTCTTGTCAAGTTGAAGAGGGGACCTGATGGGGTTCAAAAGTCGAAAGTAGATGGTGGCTGGACATCATCTGACTCGAAGAGGCACTTTTAAGTGCCTGCCCCTCCCCCATTTTCTCTGGCACAAGTACTCATTCAAGCAGAGAAAATGCATCTTATTACTGAGGGTTTCGGGAAGATCATTACCATTGCTCAAAGACAAGTAGCCCACATTATGTTTACACTTCATGATGTTGATGAATTCTTTATTGTGCAGATCGCAGGCAGCATTCCATGGATGGAAGCTCAGAAAACGTCACTGACATGGACAAGTCAACCGGTCACTATTCCCACACAACGGAGTCTATGTACACCACCACGCCCAACCAATCCCCTACACGTCGACCCATGTCCATGGCATGTGTACCCACTTCGTCATTCGGGGAACCGGTCACCAGGAATACGGCCACCACACCCAGTGGCTCATTACGTAAGAGTAAACCCCCTCCGCCGATTCGACGTACGCCGTCTGGCGGATCGCTAGCCGGTATGACCGAACAAGGTGGGAATTGGAGTGAGGGTGGGGATGGATCTGACGACGCCTACTTCAAACGCCCATACACACCAGGACGGGTCCGTAGCCAGAGCACTGTTCAAGCACCTTATGGCTCCGAGCCTCAGCAGTCTGGTAGCCAACCCCAGGGGCGGGTGCATCGCAGTCACAGCTTGAAGTTGACTGGTGATGTCATGTCGGGCGACGTGGCCCGCATGAGTCTCATGGAGAGTTTGAATGCCAAGCTTGCACAGCGCGGACCAATGCAAGATGTAGGACCGAGGCAACAGACGCCAGCAGAGCAACAGCACTATGCACAGCCAATACAGCAGAAACCCGCAAAGCAGTATCAGCAACAGCAGTATCAGCAGCAACAGTCACAACAACAGTATCAACAGCAGCAGTCAACGCAACAGTATCAGCAACAGCAACAGCAGTATCAGCAACAAGAGTATACACAACAGCCCTCTACGCAGCAGTATCAACAACAATCAACACAGCAGTATCAACAGCAACAAGGCCAATACCAACAGCAACAAACGAGTCAATATCAGCAGCAGCAGCAGCATTTTCAGCAGAACCAATATCAGCAACCCCAAGGTGCTTACAAACCGACCAGTCCGCCGCAACAAACCTACCCAAACCAGCAAACCACTCCGCAGAGCTTCCAACAGCGACAGCTACAAGTGAAGCAGCAGTTACAGCAACAGCTGCAACACGGCAACACGCTGCAGCACAGCCAGCATGGCAACTCGCAGACCTACGGACAATCGCAAATCGCCGCGCAGGCAGCGCAGATGCGACAAGCCCAGAATAACCTAAGTAAGCAACAGACTTACAACAGCCAGCAGCAACCTGTTGGTAACCAGGGAGACTGTCACCAAGGCGACAGTGACAGTTCGGACAGCGATGACGGGGTTGGGATCCTCTCGGAGATTCGGAGAGGCGTGAAGCTGCGACGGACTGTTTCCAATGACCGCTCAGGCCCAAGAGTATGAACTTTGACAAAAAATAGAAACCGAGCTTAAAACAGCAATACTCTAATAGCATGTAGTAGTGATAGTAATGTGCAAAAGCTACAAAGCTTGGATGTTCGTTTTCTATAAACGTGTACAATGTACATGATGTATGCAACAGTAAAGTTGGTCGAATTTGCCAATATTGTCACTGTGCATATTGGAATGCATATTTGAATGATCGACTGGGTGGAATTTCTTCCATGTGACTTAAGCTGTAGGGAACAGGCTCTTACATGAGGGGAACCTACAGTTTAAGTTGAAGAGAAAACAAAAAGTGGGTCCTAAAAATGTTGACTTTCTTGTTCACTGACTTGCAAGCTGTCTGTCGCTGTGTTTGAAAATTGTTCATCTGTGGCCAGTGTCATAAATCGATTTTGTATGTATCAATCCAATGTAATGTTGCTATTGGTCAAGTTCCTGTAGGCAGTGATAAATATCGCAATGAAGTTGACCACAACATGATGGGCACCAGTCTATGCATTTCCGTGCAGAACCTCCGTTTTGTTGCATGTTTTTGAAAAAACGGCATTGTTGCAGCTCGGGCTCCAGGACACTCTAACTCAATATAGGACCATGTCCTACTTCAGTAACATAGAATCCTAAATTTGACGCAAGGTTTACAGGAACTTTCCATTTGATTTGGACAAAAAGGACTTACAAAGATTCTGAAAAGTCAGAGATGAAGCCACAGCTGGAAATGAAACCATGGTTTCAAAAACTGCTATGGGTATTGTCTGAATGAAGTGACGTTGGCTAAGGCTAACAGCTTCCCATAGATACACAGTGTGACTGTGCAATTACAGTCATAGCCATGCAACATTCAGACATTGCCAACATTTTTGCATTTCTGCCATGATGGTTGAAGTGTACCATTAGTCAACTGATCAAGATTTTTTTCATCTGTCTCGGAAGATATTTTGGTGCTTCCTTTTTTTCTCCAGAAAAAGACATTACTGTTGTTAATTATACTAGCATAAAAATTGAAGAATAGATCAAATTTATTTGAGGAAAGAAAGCTTGACAAACTTTCTTTGCTCAAGGTAAGATATTTAATTTTTGAAAAATGAGCAAGGTTAGCTCAATAGTTAAGGGAAGAAATGTGATCTTTGTAATTATTAAAATTTTGTAGCGTTTAAAGAATAGAACAATATGATAAAAAAAAATTGATCAAAATGATTTAGATTTTTTAAGAAAATTGTCGAGTTTTTTTTCTTTTTAAAGTTTTTTTACTTGCCACTGTAGATATTTTTTATAAATGTTTTAGGGTCATGAACAAGTTGCACTTAAAGGTCAGAGGTCACAGGCTGACCTGATTAATTTAAGTTTTAGTTTAAATTGCTAACTAACTGATATAAGTTACTGTGATTGTTGGTTAATATTAACTAAGAATTGTTAGGTCAGTCGTGTTTAGAATTGTAATATTTTGCCATTTTTAGTTACGGTGTATTCGTGGTTCCTTATATTGAAGCCATTGAAATAGATTAAAGAGCATTTTAATTGTATTTATTATTTTTTATACTGCCTGTAAACTGCAACAAAAAAATAAGACGTTTCTTGCATTTCATTGCTAAATGTACATTTTTTAAAGAAAGGTTTTTGCAAAAATCTGGGCAGCCAAGGAACAGTTTGCAACAAACAAGTAGAATTATGTACATAAATCGCTCTTGGAAACTTTTGGCACATACAACTAAATTGTTTGTAAATGTCACAAAACAAGAAGTGCATCAACAGAAACCTTGTCACATGTCCGGTTTCACCGTAAGTTGTTCATCACTGAGCTAAAGATGTACTCCGTTGTGAAGGGAAAAAAAAACACTGGAACAATAATATTGCAACGATGTTGTTCGGCTGTAACAATGTGGACTCTTGAGGGCGCTTGTTGCCTCGCAACAAAGGATGATTAAGATCACCATGGTGACACTGTTGTCTAGTCCCAGTAGTAGCATATCTGTTACTAGCGTCTACCAAATAACAGCCATGTGTCAAGGGATCCCCTTTGAAAACTGCCATTTTTAACAAAAAAATCTCCATAAAAGAACAGACATTTTCTTTCATTTTTAATAAAACCTATGGGAACAGTGTTGTGTACATCAGGAGCTTCTGGTCTGTCTTATCGTTAAAAATGAAATTTAAAAACTTTTTTGTCACTCAAGTTATTGTGAGTTTATTTCACATAATCTTTCATCACTCCAGTATCAAAAACATTATTTCCAACCACACCAATATTTTGCTTCGATTGTGAGGAATTATCCATATGCATTTACAAGTTTTAAAAAAATTAATGTTTAAAAAAATGAATGATTTTTTTTTTTTTTTTTTTTTTTTAGTGACTGTTCAATTTGTGAAAAGACAAATGTGCCTTTTTATTCAATATTTACGCTAGGCATTGCAATTTATATAACTTAGGTAGGATGTCGTGGATCTAAATAACACTGCCCTCCTTTTTTTTTCAAACTGAAATAAAGTAAGTTAGAAATTTACTAATTTAGAAGCCTCAGTTTTAACAACCCACTTGATATAGCCATATTTGTAAGTCAGCACAAAGCAAATTTGTTACGGTAATAGTGAGTTAAATGACTTTTTGAAATTTCTGGGGTTTTTTTTTCCCCTTCATCGTCAGTAAATAAAAAGCTCATTACTGTGTGTGCTTAGAAAGAGTAAACCTGCTAATAAGAAGGTACAGTCCGTTACCAAATTTTGAAACTGTACCAAACACTTCCGTAAATATGTTCCTTTCTGATTTTGGATTTGTAACATTCGTTAGAATGTGTAGTTTCTGGGTGACATTATTCGAACTAACAGGTGGTATAATCGCACGTTTCTATGACAATGACAGCTTTGTGTTTGAAACTAAGCTGGGCTTTTGTAGTTGTGTATATATATTGGTAATGGTTTGTCTAACATGAGTATGCAAGGCCAAAATGCATTGGTAGGTCGGAGATGAACAAAAACATGTTGTTTGTGCCTAAAGTGTTAATTTTTTTATTATTTATTGGTTTTTATGTATTTATGCATCGCTGTTGTCACCAAAACTTTGTTTAAGGGGTTCTTTTTCTTGGGCCCCTTAAAACCATTACTGTATTTTAATTTCAAGTCATGCTAACATGTTTCATAACATTCTTCGAACCCTACATGTAGGTGCAAATGGTAATGTGCAGTCTTTTTTTTTTTTTTACATAATGGTTGATGTTTTCAAGTGAAGGGTCGGAGGAAGATTGTTTTGTTCCACAAATTCAAAGACCCAATTTATTCATAATTTCTTTTCCAGTTTTATTTACGTCTTCTTAAATGTGCAAGTGAAGATTTTTTTCTGCCCTCGTAAATTAATCTATGGAAAAGATGCCACCTAAACATCTTAAATTTACTTTAACAGTTGCACAGACTTCCACATTTTGATCCATTAGAAACTCGACAATTGTTTTCCAAAAATATTTCCCTCACTTTAATTTAATCTTCATAAAAAAAACGATCCAGTGTTAACTTGTTTTGTATTTTTTTTAATCTACATTTCCCCAAACTCATTTTTACCAAGCGTAACAATTCGACAAACAAAAAGAAGTGAAATATTTTTCTGAATTTGACACTGAAGCATTTAAAATTCAATGCAAATTTTCTACACAAGTCGTCAAAGCAGTGATACTTGTTATAACATTGAGAATCATAAAGTGTAGTTTAATTTCTGCAAGCAAACTGTTGCAAAGCATGTTGTAAAATAAAAAAAAAAAGTAGTTGGACCAAGATTTGTCGTCCTTTGTCTGTATTTGAGTCATTTCCTTCCCCCTTGAGTTCAATTTCCAAACTGACTTCCCCTAGCATTGAATGACCTGTAGCACTTTTCAAGTCCTTTTTTTGTTTAAGAAAATTCAACCCTAGAATGGCATGGCTTTGTTGAGGTCTGTTTCAGGTAGAGTTTGTGTTTGTTTTTAATCATCTTATGTTTGTTGCAGAACTGAAATGATAACGATTTTGTTTTCGTAATACACCTTTCCTTACTTCCTTACCGTAAGGTCAGAGCCAAATTCTGCTAGATGCACCTCAAAAATCTGTCAGATTTATCAAAAATCTGCCAAAGTCCCCAGGATTACTCGAAATACACTAAAAACACTTAAAATCACATGCAGATTGGTAGTATTGCCTTAATTAAGGTTCAAATTGCATAATAAACATTCCAGTCACATAAAGATGTGAAATTATTGGTAAATTTTGGGCAAAATGCAGATCCTAGCATGAAAAGTCAGTTTCCGAGTGCACCTTGGCACCTAGACCAGCCAACCTGTCCCATTATGCAAGGGTTTGTTTGAAAGGATTGAAGCTGTTTAAAACAAATGCACACTTTTTTGTTCAAATTTGCTGTTTTTCTGTCAAATAACCATTTTTGCAGAATTCTGCCAGAAATCTGCCAAAAAATCCATTCTGTCAAATTTTCTGTGAACTTGTTTTTTAACAAAAATTCTGTCAAAATTAGCCGAAAATCGGCTAAAACGGTCACCCTGGCGCCCTCTTTTTCTATATTTTTGGAACCGTATTTTAGGTGTAGCGCCCTCAATTAATAACAGGCTAAACTAGACTTTCAATGAAGTTTGACTCTTGCATTATTCGTAGCAATATTTCAACAACGTAATTTGGTTTAGAGAGTTAAAACCAAGATTTCTTGTATATACTTGACTTAACATTTCCTCAGAATAAAATTAGAAAGCTGCTTTTGTACTAAGTACTGCAGGCTGGTTTTTGAGATTAAAATATTCTAACTAGTAACATCAAACTTGAAAACAGTCTGTGTAAAAGACGGCCTGTTTCATCTGTACCCCTGACGTCTCAAAACAAAATGTAACAGAAACTTAAGTTTAGCCGCTGGTGTGCTGACTATCAATCAACTTAATCATGACAACAAAGTCGGTAAGTGCACCGAAAGTGACGCAAACCCCCCTAGAATTACATGAATTGGGGGCTTTGTTGCGTGAAATAAACTCAACCAGCGCTAACAACAGTAGCACGAGATTAGGACTTTCAAATTTTAGCGATAAAAACTGGAAGGAGCTACTGAAATCACCAATTTATGGGCGAATATGTTTGACCGAGGGAGCGAACCGCCAAACCATCCCAGCCAAGTTGTCGTCTGCTCCCGGGAGAAAGACGGCGTTCGTGTTCGGACCAGACACCGTGTGCGGTGCGTTGTTGGAGAAGAAACCGTACGAGTTGCTGCTGCACTTGGGATTTCTACCAGAATACATACATTTAAAGGTGCCCAAATCTTCTGAAATTTTGGGTATGAAAACTTTATAAAAATACTCGAAATGTTTTCTTCATAAACATTGAAACTAACGTCCTAGTTTCTGTTCGACATTCTTGAACTTGAAGGAAGGTGTAGCCTAGGCCCTGTTTTTATTTAGCATTCACTTTTATGCACCTATCATTCGTTTCCCCCACCCCAAGAATCAGAAAAAGAAAATGACGTCATAATATGCAATTTATAAAGACTAGAGTAGGATTCGTTTTAAATTTAAAACAATAAAAGAAGACAATTGTTACTTTTTGGAGTTCACACAAAAACTAAAGTTTCAAAAAACAATGGCAAGGCTTGCAACTTAACTGTGCAAGGCAGGCACGCTATCCAATTATAGACCATGGATTCACTCAACGTGAGGTGGCAAGTTAATATCTTGTATGGTGAACATGGTGAAGGTTGACTTGTATAATCTTCTTTACAAAATACAGCTTCCAATCCTTCCGGATTTCAATTGTGATTTGACTGTTTGGAGCAAAATAATTGGAGCTAACACAGTAACACTAACACAACAACAATTTGTCTAGCTCAATGTACTATCGGTCTTTCTTTGTATTGTCTTTCTTTGTATAGCCTCGGTTGATTTGCATTATTTTTGGGGTCAAGTTACATGTACATGTACATGTATCTTCTTTTTTCCGACTTCTTTTCTGCCAGTAGATGTACAGTTGTGTATGGTAAAAATGTCAAGAATTTGTTATCTCAAACTCTAAAGAGACCCCTCATCATTTGATTATCCACAAAAAAAAAATGTTCCAGGCATGCATCCAGAAGTCCAAATACTGGATCGTTCTTCTCTCCGGGTCACTCAACAACCAGCAAAACCCCATCGTACCGGCCACGTGGGAGGGCATGGAGGAACTCATCGGAACCTGTTACCCAGCTGCTCTTGAGCCAGTCCTATCCCACTGGCCCACCATCAAGACCAACCCGGTGGAGTACTTTGAGAAGGAGGTTGATTTCAGGTTCATCACGGCCGTCAGCGACCCGACTGGCCCCCTCTACATGAGCTACGACAAGTTCAAATCACTGCCTAGGCCGCAGACCGCCTGGCAGACCCGGCTTTTCCTGTACTGCGAGTTGCGGATGTTTGAGCTTTTCTCCGGCGATGGACTGACATGCCGGGAGGATGGGACCAAAGGGGAGAAGGAGTACGTCTGCATGAACTACGAGCTGGAAAACATTGACAGGAAGCACTGGCTGGCTATTCCTCTGGATGTGGAAGTGCCACAGGAAGTTAGGATGAAATATGGAAATAATTCATACAAGATATGCATGTTATTTTAACTTAATTAAAGGTAATATACAACATTTGCAAACATGAAAAAACATAACTTCCAAATTGTTACGAACTACCTTGACTGTATTTAATAGTCTGAAGCATCCTGTGAAATCATGGCACCTGGTGTGCTGTCATTTTCAAGAAAAGTGAAAGCTTGCACCAATTTCCAACAATGGTTGGCTGACCATCGTTGGAAAAAAAAACTGACTTTTTCAAATACTGCCCATAATTTTCCAAATTTATTTAGTTCACATTTTGTTTGCAATCGGTTACACATCCGTGAACGGGTGCAAGCCAGCTAGTCTGGTTCCCTGACCTGGCGATTCCCTGACATTTTTTAGTTGTTCCGTTTTGTCTGAAGTAGGGTCACTCAGGGAACCCAACTACGAGAACAGCATTTTTCTTGGTTTTTCAGGCATCTATCAGGCATGAAACTTTTCCTCGGATCTCGTTTTTTTACTTCTCATGAATGCCATCAAAATTTAAAAATACCGTACAAAGTCTTGTGTGGTTTGGAGTTTCCTTGTTTTTTTCTAAATTCCCAGTTGCGTGCCTGATCTACATGTATGAGAACAAAACTAAACAGGTTGGTGCACTGTAACAATGTTTACTATACAATTCTAACCCGCCAAACAATCCATTGCTGAAAATTACAGCAAAAGCAAATGTTGTATATTTATCTTTGGGCATATTTCCAGTGTTAGCTGCTGTGTGAAAGTAGCCATTATTACATGTATGAACCTGTATACAACCCCACTTTGGTTTTCGCTCTTATTTCTCCATGATATATGCAAATAAAGGTTTACTAGTTCCAGTTGTTAAAGTCTATTTTTGTAAACAAATAAGTACACAAAGCTTTCCTATATTTTATCAGCATTTTATTGATGTTTCCATAATCATGCTTATGTAATTACCAGGGAAAAAATGGTTTGTGGTTTTAAAAATGCTTTGTGGTCAGTATTAAGGGAATAAATGTGTACTTCGGAGGTAGTCGGAGGTGTTAAACACTATATTTAAGACTGGTTAGAGACAGTCTGGAATTCGCCTCGGGTAATTATTGGCATTCCAGACTCCAACCAGTCTTAAACATAGTGTTTAATACCGAATAAGCACATATTTATTCCCATTCGTGAATAAGTTTTGGGTCTAAAAGTCAAAAATTAAATTTTCCAACAATTTTGCTAAACAATTTTACTTTCTGTCTTTTCTAAACACCCCTCTAGCTATGTAATGGACTGTCCAGCTCGCGAGTAAGATGTAAGCAACTCCTTTTATGGAGATTGGCGCGTCGCACGTACTGCACGATGACGCGCAGATGCAGCTGTAGTGAGTGCGTTGTGAATTTAGGACAATGAAATACTGACTTACTGGTAGTATTGCGCATGCCTAAGTGAGGATTGTGAACGTTCAACCAATAAAATGGTAAGAGGCACTGGATTTCATAGGAGTCCAAATTTCATGTGACACTGGAAAAGTGTTTAAGACCAGCCAGCCATGTCTTTATCATCCCTTTGAGACTAGCCATGTGACGGGCTCTCGACCAATGGGGATGGGTAAACTGTCTTTGGTATTTATGAATATTTATAGTTTGTATATCAGTGAAGTGCACTTTTATGACTTAACACGAACACCATGTGCAAATACAGTAGTGCAATGCAAAAAAAAGTTGACCACAATATTTGAATAGCGCCCTCACTTGACAGAAGAAGTTGACCAAAGAATTTGAATAGCGCCCTCATTTGTCAAGAGAAGGACATTTCTGCAGCTGTAGCAAGGTGTCAAACTTTCCAAAGTTTCAGAAAATGTACATTTGTATTTTCAAAAGTTATGCAGTCATATTAATAGTATTTTTCGGTGCTTGTAAGAAGAACACGGCTGAATTTAGTGACGTAAAGCAAATGCAGGTGATTAAAAATTGATCATAGTACGTTTATTTGAGTCTTAAAAATATGTAAATTTGTAGGCCTATGATGAGTATGAGGCTAGTATGTGTGTGTGAAATATATTTCATGCCTCATGGTCGTAAAGTATGTGCTTTTTAACCAGCTGGTTCCGAATCCAGTTTACCTTTTGCGAATTAAATTGAAAATCAAAATCACGTTACTTGTTCTGAACAGCGTTTGTTGTGATTCAACTCATTGGTTTTTTTTCATTTGTAATTAGCCCGTGTCCGTCTCCTACTGTACTTCCAAACCAAGGAGTTGCCTTATGAAAATAGGACTTCAATTATAGTTATACGCCCGGTTACCCCCAATTTCAAATCCAACTTTTCTATCACCTAGTAAGGTACAAATAATATTTAGTTGTCAGACAAAAGAACCACACAACTTCAAGCATGGGCGTCAATCGGTGGGGGATGGGGGCTCCCCCCCCCCCCCCCCCAGTTTTAAAGTGGGGGGGTATATCGTTTGTCCAACCCCCCCCCCCCACTTTTTCGTCTCCGAATAAAAAATTGTAAGCTTTTAATATTATTATGATTCTATAACTCAAAATTGCTGATTTAATGACTCGAAACTCAAAAATGATGTTAAAATTAAAAAGATGATCTAAAAAAGAATTGGTTTTAGTGGTCAGAGATTGCCTCAGATTGCACCACAGAGCGTCTAGAATCCAAAATGTTTGGGGGCCCTTAAGTAGGCCCCGAATCCAGGCCATTAGGGCTTTGCATTCGCATTAGTGCTCATCAAGGTACTTTTGAGCAGCGGTTGACACCCTTGACCTCAAGATTTACAGTAGACCTAAGGCAAAATAAAAAAAAAAACATGTTTAGCGTCCTGCCTCTTTAACAAAAAGGAAGGAGGAGGCCCTTTTTTTTTTTTTTTTTTTTTTCAAAATGGCCGCCCGACACATTTTTCAAGACAACGCGGCCGGGCTATTTTTCAAGATGGTTACCAGCTTTTTTCAAAATGGCCGCCACTTGGACTCATTGACTATTTCCACAGCTTTATACACGGTATAAAAGTCTAAAAATATGATTTCTTTCGTCAGAGATCGTTAAAATTGATCAATTTTTGTCTCTTTTTAAAAAAAAAAAAAAAAAAAAAAAAAGGAGGCGGCCTCTAAAAAGGAAGCGGGCGGGGACGCTAAACATGTTTTTTTTTTTACTTCGCCTAAGACATAAGGCGGAATAAAAAAATATGTTAAGCATCCCCTTCCCCTCCTTTTTGGAGGCCACCTCCTTTTTTCTTTTAATTTTTTTTTCCTCTTTTTTTTTTTAAACCGAATAAATTTTCATCAGTGACATCATTTTGGCCTCTTTATCTGTTGCATCTAGCCCATATAATTTATATAAAGCTGTTATGTCATTTCCTGAGTCCAATGGCGGTCATTTAAAGCAACAAGTGGCGGCCGTCTTGAAAAATAGCCCGGTCGGGGGGCCATTTTGGAGGGGGAAAAAAGGGCCTTCCGCTTCCTATTTTTCAAAAAGGCAGGAGCTAAACATGTTTTTTTTATTTCGCCTAATGACGTCACGCTTTGTTTACATGTGTGCTTTCCTATGGCCAAAGCCAGGTGTGGACAATTGGCTAGCATATGCCCACCTGGCTCCCATAGGAAAGCGCAAATGTAAACAAAGGGTGATGTAATTAGGCCAAATTTAGCGTCCTGCCTTTTTGAAAAAAAGGAAGGAGGAGGCCCTTTATTTTTTTCAAAAATGGCCCGCCGCCTGACCGGGCTATTTTTCAAGATGGCCACCAGCATTGTTTTTAAATGGCCGCCACTTGGACTCGGGAAACAAGATGCAACACTGTTTAAAATGTATACCTTTTGGGTTTTTTTTTTTCAAATACATTTTTTTAAAAGGAGGTTGCCTCCAAAAAGGAAGCAGACGGGGATGCTAAACATTTTTCTTTGGGGGGGGGGGGGCCTTATATCTTAGCTTTATTAACTGCTCGAATAGTCAGCAAAATACCTTCATTTGGTACTAAAAGCTGATTGCCATTGGAAATCCAACGCAATCTATCCTTTCTATCTCTCCACAACCTGATAGCTCACCTGTTTGTCAGGGATTATGCAAGTTAAGGCTTTGTGAATTTGGGCCCCCAAATAAAGTTACCTTTTTACTCTGCATGTGGTTTACAGCCATTCAAATAAAAATTTCCAAACCACCCCCCCCCCCCTAAAAAAGTTAGAACAGCATGGAGTAATTTTTTTTTTTTTCATTTTACTCCAACCCTCCAGCCAAATTACCCCAAACCTACCCACCCAATCGGTCATTTCATCTGACCCAAAACCCCAACACCCCCACCACTACCACCCACCCCACCCCACCCCACCCCACCCCCACCCCACCCCACCCCCACCCCACACACATAGAAAAAGACTTGTGAGCCACAAACCAATCACCCTGCCACCCCACACACACATGTAGAAAAAGGAGAAAATAGTTGGCCACAAACCAATCCTTAAATCCCCCAGAATTTAGTGTAGAACTTTGCCTTGTTTTTCCCTCCGGCTGTTCTGACAAAACCGTTCGTCATTACCACTATATCTATACCTCCTAATAACGGTTTGTCTTGTCACTTTTTAAAATTCACCCATCTATCTTGTTCATCACCACCGAATCAAAAACGCATTTAAGTATCCTCCCTTGTGGTTTTCCCAGCTTTGATTGCTTTCTCCTGCCAGATTGAATCAAATCTTGCAGTCTTTTTTTTATATAGAACTGAGCAACAGTCGGTTGATGTTTCCGAACATTCCTGCCTTTAATCCCAGATTACGTCTGGACCACACACAACAGATAATTGTCCATGAATGTTGATGAGGTAGAATTATTTTTTACATCAATCATACACGCAAGGGACCTACACGTATATGTCAGACCCATTTCAGTTTATTCTGTACAATCGAATTTATCGAATATTAAGTTATTTTTATGGCAGAAATGAACGATTTTCGTGGAAAGGATGCCCTCTTTACCTTCAAGTGAATAATTTGAATGCTTTATGCCCAATCTTTCATTAAATTGTGTTTTGTATATTATATCCTTCATCACATTTTACTTAATATGAAAAAGGCGTTTTATTTTAAGAAACCTTTAATTGTGTTCACTAATTTTGATGTTTCATTAAGCTAAGAGTTCTCTTCTCTGATGTATTCAAAACGATCATTGGTTTTTAAATTTACCGGAAAATGGCATTAAGAATTTCTTGAACTTTTTGATTGGAGGGGAGTATTTATCTCTCATTCTCTTATTTTTCAGAGGAAGGATGCCTCACTGACAGGATTACAAGGATTCCCTTCTGAGGAACGCAGAGATACATGCTTACTTCAAAAATATAGGTAAGTGAAGACAGATATAATTTACCTCAAAATATCTTTGGTGAAATTTCTGAGATTTGATTTTATTTTTTTTGGCTGTGGCCTGATTTTATTTGAGAAAGCAAGATCTAAGGGATGTCAATATGCGGAAATAATTTAATTTGTCCAGCATTGTATTAGCCTGTTAAGATTATATCAATCTGAGTATACTAATGCATGGTCATGGGCGTCGCCAGGATTTTTTCTAGAGGGGGCAAAGCACATTTCCCCCCGAAATCCATGTACTTTCCCCAGCATAATTATTCTTGATTTATCATTTTTCGAGGGGGCAGGGACATTTAACACCCCCCCCCCCTCCCAACCCATTAAATCAACAGCTATATGACTCCACGCCGCTTTTTCGTTCTTTTTTTTCCCTTTTATTTCTCCTTTTATTTTTATTTTTTGGCTTTTCCGGGGGGGGGGGGGCCTTGCCCTCCCCCCTCTCAATGCCCATGTGCATGGTGACATTTGAGTGTTTGCAATTGGGTCTGAGAATCAAAGTTGGTTAAAAGTCACTTCTTGCTGTATCAGGTTCAAATCTATTAGCCTACCCATCAAGATTTTGGTGGTTTCATATTTGAGACAATGATCTGTAGGAACAAGTAGGATCGTAGGTTAGGGATGTTCTGGGTTCGATTCCCAAGAAGAAAGCTTTAATCTTTCAAATTCACTGATGAACAAACAGTGCTTAACACTGAGTAAAGTGGTTGGTAGGGGGGAAAACCCTTGCTCATGTATTGCTTGTTCAGTAGTCCTCCATGGTAGTGAAGAAACTATACTTGAAGTAAACTTGAGTAAACCACCTGAGACTGTAGTTGATTTCATTTTGGTGAGTGGCAATAGTCTGTAATTTACCTGAGCTTTTACCAGCAGTGTTGTGAGACAGACATATTTATGATTTTTGTGGTTTTGAAACTCCTTCAGGATATTGCATGCCCTCGTGTGCATGAATAATACATGCCTCTGCCCAGCCTTAAACACAAGATACATCAAAATTCTAGCCCAACCGACTAGCCTTATGGTGAATTATCCACCAAGCACGCTAGATCCAGACTTCTATTAACAAACATCTCCCCCCCCCCCCCCCAAAAAAAAAATACTACAGAAAATTCCAGTTGGTTCTTTTCAATTAATACCATTTCTGCCTCTGGAGATTGCCAAATCCACAAGCTTGCACGTCTGTTTTTAAAAAATAAAAAAAAAGTGTAGGGAGGGAAAATAGAAGCCTGAAGACGTGATAACGCGCAGCGTCATTTAAGGACATTTTTGGGGTGATGGTTTAGAGCCGCTTAGAAACACGCTGCGAGGGACTCCTACGGATTAGACGCACCTCTGCCAAACATGGCCCGGACCGTAACGGCCGCGGTTGTGACTCAGTCGTCGCTGGGAGCGAGCCGTTATTAACGGTCTCATCTCTGCGTTTTAATCCGGCCCTAAGGTGCACAGAATCAAAGTGTCCTGTCAGACAATTTTTTTTTTTTTTTCTGCCACGTTTTCTTTTTTTCCCTCTTTGCCCGTGAAATCACGAGGAAGCTTAAGTAATCAATTTACTGGTTCTGGTGGTTGCGGTGCGGCGAGGGTAGGATTGGGAGGCGTGTTTGAAAACATTCGCCGCTCTCTGCGGCGCGAGGAAACTGCTAAAATGTCTCGGAGCAATCGTTGTGGAATAAGGATAAGAATTGGGCAGTGTGTCTGGTTTTAGACAGGACATATAAATTATGAGATAATTTATAGGGTCATAAATTTGTCTGTGCATTTGTTTTCATTTGTCACCAGGGCGATATGTATTTTAAGTTGTAATAGCTTTCAGTCAGTGTACACTAATTTATGTCTGTGAGTTTGTCTGTGTCTCATTTTTTGTAATACTTTCATGCAGCCCTGTGTATTAATATACTTAGTCATATACTGCACTACCATGATATCCAGAGACAGTTTTAGACCAAAGTTCTTTTTTAAATAAAGTAAAAAAAGATATCCATTAGAACTCCATTATTCAGTAAGCTAAGTTGAATGTCAACTTTTCTATAAAGCTTACCCAAGCACAGTCTTGAATTGTATTAGCTGGAATGGGGCAGTATATCTGTTTTTCTGTAGTTGAAAGTCAGGGTTTTTCTTTATTTGGACTAATAGGAATAACTATAGACAATGTATACAGTTGTGCTTATTTCCCAAACAGCTTCATTCCCAGATACACAACTTTTCCCACGGTGTCACCCACATTTCAAAGTGACTCCAACAATCCCAAACAGTTTTCCAAGTTTCTCAAGTCCAAGGGTGATTGATGGTAGGCCAGTGAAGTCGGGCAGCTCCTGAAGAAAATGAGGTCTTCTCCAGGGAGTCTTGAGAATAAACTGTTGTGATACCCCTGAATGTCTTGGAACAGCCGCCAAATCCCCAATGGAAGAACTAATAGTTTTTACTTCTGTGTCTGAATGGTGAATAGGTACCAGAATGCTAATAAATAGGGTAAGGCCTGAAGCTAGTACATCAATATGACAGGTGTGGCGGCCATCTTGTATCCTGTACTGTTCCGTGTGGGGGGGGGGGTGTTCTAGGCGGTATCAAGCAGCAAAAATTGGCTTTGAAATAAAGATCTTTTTCACTTGCCAAAATGTATAACAAATGAATAAAACCAGTTATGGAAGTAAACAGTTGTTAAGTCAAACAAAAAAATTAATTTCCTTCAGTAATGTAACAATGATATTTTCAACCCTGCTTAACTCAAAACTCTGCTTAAGTCAAATGTTGAGCCTGTATATCTAAAAGTACAAATAATTAATTAAATTAGTATTTTTAATGACCGCGGATATGGAAAAGAATTTTTATTGGGGACATTTGGGTAAAAAACTGAAATGTTTGTTGTCTCCCTGGATGCTGACTGTAATGAGCTGAAATCTCTAGGGGATTCATTTCTGGCCTCTACCCACCTTGTGTGAACATTTGACTTAATTTCGTGAAGTTCGATTTTGGGCCAAAAATGAGTATTTTTGATGACCGCGGATATGGAAAACTTTTAAAATTGGGGACATTTTGGTAAAAAACTGAAATGTTTGTTTTCTCCCTGGATCCTGACTTTGGTGAGCTGAAATCTCTAGGGGATTCATTTCTGTCCTCTACCGACATTGTTTGAACATTTGATTTAATTTTGTGAGTTGGATTTTTGGGACAAAAATGAGTATTTTTGATGACCGCGGATATGGAAAACTTTTAAAATTTGGGACATTTGGGTCAAAAAATGAAGTGTTTGTTTTCTCCCTGAATACTGACCGTAGTGAGCTGAACTTTCTAGGGGATTCGTTTCTGGCCTCAACCCACCTTGTGTGAACATTTGACTTTATTTCGTGAAGTCGCATTTTGGGCCAAAAATGAGTATTTTTTATGACCGCGGATATGGAAATCTTTTGAAATTGGGGACATTTGGGTAAAAAGCTGAAATGTTTGTTTTCTCCCTGGATCCTGACTTTGGTGAGCTGAAATCTCTAGGGAATTCATTTCTGGCCTCTTACCCACCTTGTGTTAACATTTGACTTAATTTCGTGAAGTTTGATTTTTGGGCCAAAAATGAGTATTTTTGATGACCGCGGATATGAAAAAATAAAAAAATGTGGGACATTTGCGTATAAAACTGAAATGTTTGTTTTCTCCCTGGATGCTGACCATATTGAGCTGAAATCTCTCGGGGATTTATTTCTGGCCTCTACCCACCTTGTGTTAACATTTGACTTAATTTCGTGAAGTTGGATTTTTGGGCCAAAAATGAGCCTTTTTAATGACAGCGGATATAGAAATCTTTTAAAATTTGGGACATTTGGGTAAAAAAACTGAAGTGTTTGTTTTCTCCCTGGATGCGGACCGTAGTGAGCTGAAATCTCTAGGGGATTCATTTCTGGCCTCTACCTTCCTTGTGTGAACATTTGACTGAATTTTGTGAAGTTGGATTTTTTGGCCAAAAATGAGTATTTTTGATGACTGCGGATATGGAAAACTTTTAAAATTTGGGACATTTGGGTAAAAGCTGAAATGTTTGTTTTCTCCAGGGATACTGACCGTAGTGAGCTGAAATATCTAGGGGATTCATTTCTGGCCTCTACCCACCTTCTGTGAACATTTAATTTAATTTCGTGAAGTTGGATTTTTGGGCCAAAAATGATGATTTAGTTTAATCTTGTTTATGGACGCGCGGACACCTCGAGAACTTTTGAGAAGATCGCTGATGTAGTTGTTTACGATTACATCACACCCTAAATGCGTGAATGGCTGGCGGTCTGAATATAGCATTCAGTAACTTGTTGTCACATCGTCTCGATTCCACCATTGACTGGAGAAAAGGCAACATTTTTGCGGATGAAATTTAATGCACAAAGTAGGTCTAAGGTTTTCCTTTACAATTTGGTCAGTTCAGAAGTGAGCATTTTAATATATTCTACATTTTGCCAAAAATATTTGTCAAAAGTAGGTCACCCAAACCACAAGCCCTAGATTTTCAAGAGCACCTGCTGGGAAGTGACAAAAAAGATTTCTGGTGCTTTTTCCCAAGTTGATTTATATCTCTATTTTGTCAATCAAATGCTGGTTTAGTGCCTTTAGATCATATTTTGATAAAAGTAAATCTTTTCCTGGGTTGGTCTGAAGATGTTATCAGTTGAAATTATTTCATGGTTGCTGAATTCTTGTGTTGGGGTAAATAGAAATCAAAGTTTCTTAAGGACTGACGGAGACTTTTTTTCTGTAATTTGGTTTCTTGTGAGAAATTCTTTTTTTGGGGGGGGGGGGTTCATTGAAATTCAAGAAACACACCAGTTGGTTTTGCCATTTTTGAATGCACCTGTTTAAAGGGCTTAAATTGCTCGAGGCTTTAGTTCTTTCACTAAAAATCAGGTGGTAGTATCTGCCTACAGCACTTGGTCCCTAAATGAAAAAAATCTTTTACTAAAGTCGTAAGCTTAACAGCACATGCCCAGATCTTATTTTTTTTCAAACATGTAATCTTTCTTCAACAGGTTATTAAGTCTTACAGCGTGAGGAGCTATATCTAGCCTGCATGTACATTCATTGTAATTCTCACTTTTGTGTCTGATTTACAGCTCGCTAAGTAAATTTTATTTTAATTCTGTGTAGTCCATTTGTTACTAAAAAAAAATAAAAATCAATTTATAAAATTCTGTATTAATGTCATAAAGTGAAAGATGATACCAAGGGACCACGCTTCAACAAAATAAAAACGTCCTGCGTCTTTTTGTTTGTTTGTTCAAAAAGCATATCAAGTTGCATACCACACAGTCTTATTGTAGAGGAAATGTCCTCTGCTTTTGAAACCTAAAAAAAAACATATCACGGTCCCTGTTCTATGATTGGACCATCAGTTCCACCCAAATCCCATTGAACCAAAAACAACACGATTGAATTTCGTTTATTCCACACTTACATAAACTTTCATTTCTGTAATGGCCCCTTTTTTATGATGGCTACAAAAATGTTCATTTCCCCAGACGACCAAGAATTTTTCCCAAAGGTAATTTCTAGAGTTTTACCCCCTCATAATGTTTACAGTGCTAGATTGCTCCCCTGGCCCAGACCAGTTTAGACTTCTTTTTTTATTTTTTGAGATCTGAGTCATGTGAAATGATTTGGCCTAGATTGATTTAATCTCATTAACCCCCAAAAGATTAATATTTTCCTCAACTCTCCGGGGAGACCGGGCCAGGCAAGAGACGCCTACATTACTCCATAGCTGGGGCGCGGGGCTGTGCCACTTAATTTCACGAGGATTATCAGTAAAAATCCGGGAGTCTGTACTCGCCCCGGGGCGAGACTTATGGCCATGTGCCCAGTAGATTTCAAGCAAAATATGTTCTGATGTGGTTTTGGGTGGAGAGTCAAATTTTATCCTTTAATGCTCAACACATATGTGTTGTTGTTCCTCAGTAATCTTGAAGAGAAGCTGCTTTGTCTTGGATGCAGAAATATGAAACTTTGATGAGAAATGTTTTAAGTCTTGCCTAAAATCTGAGGCCCGGTACCAAAGTCATTGTTTATTGTTGTATTCTTAAGATTAAAAAAATGTAGTGATGTGTTGTGCCCATCAAAGTAAAAACAGATTTGACCTCTTTAGGGGCGGATCCAGTATTTGGCTGCAAAGGGAGGAAGGTTGCTGATTGCCGCAACAGACCTCTTGCACAGAGCCCCCTCAAAGAGGGCAGGTCCTTGTTCCTCTGTGATACACATAAGGAAACACTTCTCACTTTCATTGTCATTAAAATAACGAGTGGTTTATTGGCTCCAAGTTTTTTCACATCTTATGTTCCTGCTAGTTTTGTATTTTTTGCACAGTCAAGTTTTTGATTGATGGTGAAATGTTCCTTTGCTATGACACCAGCCGTACTTATTTCCACGGGGAGGGTTTGCAATGATGATCGATGGCGTTTTTATCAAGTGATACATTCTTTGTCATTTGTCAAGTAATGCTTCGGCTCTTTTTTGCTTCCATAAAAAGCTTTCCCTGAAATTCACACCCATAACTTTCGGTCATTATTTTCTCATTTACATCAAGGTGCATCACATTCCTGGTCATGACCCCTTGGTGCAAGTCTGGTGAACAATTTCTGATAGTTCCAGCATGTTTAGTAAGTTCCTTAGTTCTCATATTGAATGTTATAACGGCCCTCAAATCTAAAATCTCTCGGTTGGACGACCCAGTTGGAACTCTGAGATGTCAGGCATGGCCTTTAGCTACAAGAATAGGCATATGATTTACACAGGTCCGGTGCTGGACACCGGTCAAATTCAGCCCTAGTTTGGACCAGGGTTGAGAGACTCTACCTGGGTCAGTGTTTCTACTTTTAATGACATTTCCTTATTTTAAGGAAATTTTTAACATCCTAATAAGGAAATTTATGAGGAAATGAAAAATTTAAGGAAATTTTAAGGAAATTCAAAATCTGAATTACATTGTACAATTCAAAGAAATTTTCAAAAATATAAAGAAATTATTGGAAAAGATCATACATTTGTGTCAAAATGAATACTTAAGGCCATTTTGGGGGCCTCTACAGAACAACAGTGGCCTGGCTTTAGGGCTGTGTCCATGGCCATGGCCAGCAGACGCGAAAGAACCGAAGCTCACACACTTGCACAACGTGTGCAGATGATGATGGCGCGCAGTTTAATAGCTTCGAAGATATTTTTTATGAAAAACTGAGTTAACTAAACCTGTAAGAAATATTCATTTTTTTATCATTACCATGGTGACTTTTAAATTCCAAAAAAAAATTCTGAGGAAATCTCAGGGGGAAAAAATATTTTAATCTAAGCAAATTCAAATTTGGAAAGTGGAAGCACTGACCTGGGTAGAATAATCCAAAATCTACGACCGGCCAATTAACACGGTGTACAGAGTGCCTTGTCAACTCATTGATCCTGCGGCACATGTATTTCTTTCCAAATTCCAACAGTAAATGGTCTGGCCCTATAATCACGTTGACCGTAAGGTCAGAGCCAAATTCTGCTAAATGCACATAAAAAATCTGTCAGATTTATCAAAAATCTGCCAAATTCCCCAGAATTACTCGAAATACACTATAAACACTTAAAATCACATGCAGATTGGTAGTACATTATAAACAATCTATAGTTACATAAAGATGTTATGAAATTATCGCGTAAATTTTGGGCAAAACGCGGATTTGGCCATGACGAAGTCCATTTCCCAGTTAACCTCAGCACCTAGACCAGCCAACCTGTCCCATCATGCAAGGGTTTGTTGAAAGGATTGAAGCTTTTTTAAACAAAAGTACTATTTTTTGTTCAAATTTGCTGTTTTTCTGTCAAATTACCATTTTTGCAGAATTCTGCCAGAAATCTGCCCAAAAAATCCATTCTGTCAAATTTTCGGTCAAACTCATTTTTTTACAAAAATTCTGTCAAAGTTAGCCGAAAATTGGCTAAAACGGTCACCCTGCCTATAATGCTGAGTCTAGGTCCCCTATTCCAATCAGTGAAATTACATGCTGGCAGCCTGGCACACAATCAGCACACATTACTTGATTAGGGGAAGGGACCTACCAGAGTACCAGGTAGTTGACTAATCCTGACTCAATAGTGCTGTCACCTCTGAAAGCTTCACCCAAGTCAATCAAGCGTGAACGTTAGACTGGCCCCAAGTGAGTTGTGCATTGATGACATCCGTGAGGCGATTAATGAGCGCAGGACTTTTGATCAGTTTTTTTTTCTCAGTCTCGCTTTAGTTCTGAGCCAAAATGTGAATCTTGTATGAAATGATAACAGTTTGGGTATGACATCATAGCGTGAAATAGACATGCTCTTGGGAAATGATAGAGCATTATTATGTTTAACCATAGGGTTTATGGGGGAAAAAGGGTTTTAAGGGCCTGTGTTATGAAGTGAATTTATGATTTCATTAATATGCATGCAGTCCACACAGAAATAGTTGATTGGGATTGAAGCGGGTTGGTGTTTTGTCATACAAAATTACTGTGGCAAAATATTGATGAGTTACCGTCATTCGTGTTGTCGTCATTGATGAGTTGCCGTCTTCATGTTGTACTGGTACCAAAAGTGGAGAATTTGGTTTTCAGTACATGATGACCCACACCCTAGCCCTACTTCTCTTAACTGCAAGAATCGCACTGGTTTCATGTTGCAAATTTATCAATAAAAAATTGCCACAGAGTTTCCCTAATTTAGCAAGCTCATGATACAAATGACCCAAAAATTAAACTTTTTAAGTAACATCTGTTCTATCTCTTGTACTATTTTTCAGAGACTTGCATGTACAGGAAACAATAACCAAACAATTTGCCTCAAATGCTGTAATCTACATTCTTCTTTTTGGAAATAGAAAGACCTAAAAGTTAACACTGCTGGTTCTTCCCAGAAATAACTTTCTTTTTAGTGATAGTCTCATCACATATCTGCAAACTTCTTTCAAGTCCTAGTGAAACAGACTAAATATTTTTTTTTCTCTCCCGCCAGAAAAATGATTACCACATGATCAACTGCATCCACAGGGTCAGTTCATCACCAGAAAAACACTCTAGTTACAAATCCTTTGGAAATTTCATTCATCATTGGCCCCCATCATAATCTTCATCACCTTGCATCACCCGCTGCGGCCAAGCTGATGAGAAAACGTAAGCATATTGATCCACCCTTCAGAGACCATGTGAGTTAATAAATTGGGAAAGGGTTACAAGGCGGACCAGCCCCTCTCTTTCTCTCGCGCTCGGTGTAAAGTAATAATTATCTCTCTGTTAATAACGGGTTATAGAGTCATTGAGCAAATTGTTTGTTTGACGGACGAGAGCAGAAATCAATTGGGTAATGACCTGATGGATGCTAGAGTGCCACAAATCAATACAGTGGAATGGGGAACAGGGAAAGGCCATTGACTTTCTGAAGCAATACTAAACAGAATTACCTCCAAAAGTATTTTCAATTGACTGACTTGCTTTTAAATTTCTGGCACAATTAGCCTTTAGCTTTTTAAAGTTAAAGATCGTGTCATTCTCAATTTATTAGTGACCTCTTTATATTATTTGTGATCAATTTAGAGAGCGAATGGTTAGGGTTCATGACTCATGATCAGAGGGGCCGGGGTTCAAATCCAGCTGCTATGTTGTGTCCTTGGGCAAGCCACTTCACCCCCACTTGCCCCTCTCCACCCAGGAGTATAAATGGGTACCGGCATTAGCTGGGGTCAGTAGCCTGCGATGGACTAGCATCCCATCCAGGGGGAATACTATTCTCAGTCGTTTAATGATACTGAAACCGGAGATAAACACCGGCCTGATATATGATGAGCCACATTGGCTCGCGACAGACTTTACTTACTTAGAGAGCAAAAACTTTCACAGTTTAATATTTTCAACCTGCCCTATGAAGAGATACCATTTGAGTTTCCCACAAATTTGAGGATCCCTTGGTTGGTCAAATACCTGGGGACAATTTTAGATCAGTTACGCAGAATGTAAACCAGTCAGTGATGCCTGAGGGTGACTGCTCTATGTTCCGACACCCCTATGTTCCGACAACCTAGATTCAAGGTATTACTCCCGGTTAGGGTTAGAGTTAGGGTTAGGAATAGGAATATGTGCAGTCGGAACATAGGGGTGTCGGAACATAGAGGTGTAACCTGCCTGAGAGTTTATATTGAAACCTTGCCTTGAGGTATGTGTAAAACAGTCCACATCCTGCCAGGTAGACTCTCAAAATTCAATGATAATAGTGCAGAATGTAATAGTACAGATGATACAGAAATCGCCATGCTGACTGTATTTTGGCTCTGAACTGTTGGCTGAGAAAAGATTCAAGACCATTACTTTAAATCTTACTCAAATGAATCCTTGAAATTTCAATTCCTTGCAAATGCTCATCCTTCAGGAGAATTCACCAACATGCAGAGCTTCCATTGCCAATCAAATTATTACTCAGTTTTGTCACCATTTCTTCCAATCATCTGTGTTTACTCTCGTTCCCCTTCATGGTTTTTAATTTCAGATTAAATCCCAGCCACAGAACTCCCTTCCCACCACCAAAGCGTGCAAAGAACAAACCGACGAGAGAATAATCCGTTCCTGGCCGCGTGATGTTTCCCTGAGCAGAAACGCATATCCCGGTAAGCCTGTTTACTTTGGATTTTTTTTCAAACAGTTTGATCAACGATTGGATTTCTGGGTCTCAAAGCTCGCTCCCTTTAAGTCGGTGCACTGCTCATCTGATGATGGCCTTACGATGGTCTCATGATATGAATTCCTGAGCGACCCATCAACTGTAGTGCTTTTCTGTTGCCGTAAACCAGTGATCTATGCATGATTGCATGTATACATGTTGTAAACTTTGGATTCATCCCTTTTGTCAGTTGTCTAATTTCTTTTTCCCCATTTCAAGATTTGCGACAAGCACTAGTTAGATGACTGTGATTGTTTTCTCCTTCTAATTTCCTGGAAACTTTAATACACAACATTCCATATTGGGATTTTATCCATTTTGAGATCTGCTGTTAGTTGTCGAATTAGTTTTTCCATGTTTCAAGATTTATGACAGTACTAGCTAGAGGAATGGGATGGCTTTCTCCTTCTAATTTCTTGGAAACTTCCATAATTTTCTGCATCCAAAGTTGTTGTTTTTTAAATAGGCCTATTCATTGCAGTTTTTATTTCTCCAACTGGAATTTTCCACTGTTTACATGGTGTCTTTTTTTCTGAAATATATTGTTTAAAAGTTTTTAAATGCCTCTGATATTGACTACTTTTTCATTAATTTGATTGACCATTATTTTTATTGTGGTGTATTTTTGTGAAGAAACTCTTTACGACTCCAGCATGTTCAAATTGTCATAACCAACCGATTCTAAAAGGCTTTTTGATTGTTTTTGAAAATGCAAACTCTGTTTCTGTTTTGATTTACTGTTAGAGTAACACTTTGTTTCACTTCACCACATTTCACAAGAAAAACACCTGTAGTCCAAATCCTTGTACCCAAGCATTATTGGTTCTTGCTGAATCATCATACCAAGAATTAATTTGAGCATCGAACATTATGTACAGATCATCTGTTAGTGAGTAAATCATAGTGAATATGATTTCAATTTGGAACATCTGAAAATCTCCATCACTTGCAAGTCGGTGACATTCGGTAACCCCGGAACTTCGGGCCCAAGACCCTCCAAATCTCTCTGGAGCCAGAGAGCTAGAGCTTATACCTCCCCCCCCCCCTTCCACCGTCCACAGCCCCCCCCCCTTCCACCATCCACAGATGAGGTAGCAAACCCAAGCATTGATAGACTGTAGACTGTCCCAGGTCTATGAAATCACCAACCTGCCTGGCTTGCTGGGGAGAGTAGAGGTGAGGAAAGAGGGACTCCGTCTTCGATGGATTAATCGGCAAACCGTTGAAGGTTCTCTGTGGCCCGTTGATTAACTTTGGGTGGAGACAGCATAGGATATAGTGCATCCTATTATTTGGTACTTATCGGATTTCTTAAAAACTGATTACTGACGTTTTTGTGGTTAGACAGTTTAGTTGCTAGTCTGTGGTTTTATTATTTAAGTTTTCTGTGATAATTTCAGAATTTTTGTGATAGCTTAAGAAGTAATGCTTCAGGTTGCCCTCAGTAACTGCCAAATCTGATTGCAGTTAGTTTAAAGTTGGAAGATTGGAATTCTGCTATTTCGTTGCTTTGTTTTTCATCAGTACTTTTGATAGATATGTTGGGTTTTTTAAGATTTTGCAGTTTTGAGTTGTAGAAATAGCTCAGAATGTATGCTTCCTTTTCAGTGGTTATTCTGTGCTTCTAATTTAGATGAAGATTGACTTTGACTTGGCAAGGGCAGATCCAGTACACAATTTTTTTGGGGGGGGGCCAAAAAAATTTGGTCCCCAAAAAAGTGGATCAAAAAATTATGGTGTGTGGTCGCCCCCAAAATTGGGTTCGTTTGGGGGAGGGGGGCCCATCCGGCCTTGTGACTTGGCGGTATTTTATCAAGTGTAGGCTGTCCAAGAGTATGACTTTTATACATCGCGTGTTAGACGTACAATTTTCTGGATAGCAGTTCACCTAGCCTACATGAAGGCAACTGAAGGTTTCTTTGGGATTTGTGTGAAGAGTCATTGTAGAAACAACTGCTCTTTAGAGCAGATTTCTTGTTGATTTCTAGTTGATCTAAATTATTTCATCAACATGCTTGCAGACTTTTGAAGTGGTGTGGTTTTTTTAAGCTCTGGCAGCAACTTCTACATGTCACTCTTTGGTTGGTCGGTCGGTCCCTAAAATTGACCAAAAATATTTGACCAAACATTGAAAATTATGGTGTGTGGTCGCCCCCAAAATTGGGTTCGTTTGGGGGAGGGGGGCCCATCCGGCCTTGTGACTTGGCGGTATTTTATCAAGTGTAGGCTGTCCAAGAGTATGACTTTTATACATCGCGTGTTAGACGTACAATTTTCTGGATAGCAGTTCACCTAGCCTACATGAAGGCAACTGAAGGTTTCTTTGGCTGTAAAGGTCCAGGTACTGATTTGTGTGAAGAGTCATTGTAGAAACAACTGCTCTTTAGAGCAGATTTCTTGTTGATTTCTAGTTGATCTAAATTATTTCATCAAAATGCTTGCAGACTTTTGAAGTGGTGTGGTTTTTTTAAGCTCTGGCAGAAACTTCTACATGTCACTCAGTGGTCGGTCTGTCGGTCCCTAAAAATGACAAAAATATTTGACCAAACATTGAACAAATGCAATGCCCTCATCAGTAAATGCACTCTAAAAGTTGTTTGTAACAATTTGTAAAGTTGTTTATGAAATTTTTTTAAACGGAGGCAAGATATGTGCAGAAATGGTATAGTCATGTGGTATTTTGTGTAGTGGTTGGATGGTATCCGGAAGGATGAAATGAAAATGATTGACCAAAAGTATGGTACTCTGTATGTGCCATCGGTGTTGCAATTTTTTGCCAGAGCTTATTGTGCACTGGCACTTGTTTATAGACATCTTCTCCTGTGCATCACGTTGATGTCACTCTCTGAGAGGGATTGGATACATCACGTTGAATAGCTCCATTTCCCAGGGTGCACAGCAAACCATCAGAGACTCCATGATGAATCACAACGCAAAGTAGGAATTTCAAGTTCTGTTCCGTCAGCATTCTTTCCTCAAAATTCCACTCTCTATAACCTGTGGCACTGAAAGCTGAGTTCTCCTAAAGATGATGGATTTGAAAACTTCCAACCCCAGAACCGACAAATCAAGAATTCTCCTGCGATTTCATATGAGCCAAACTTTTGTGAATAGATTTTGAATGGGGCTCCTTGTGACACCTGTTTTTCTTTACTTTTTTTTTTCTTTTTTCTCTTGAGAATTGACTCCGTGACACCTGCTGTATTTCACCTTCAGTTTTTTTTACTGTTGCCCAGGGGTTTTGGGACTTGACCTCGCTGGAGGAGGGGTCATATGGTGTTTGTAAACTTGTTCCTAATTTAATTTAAGGCCCAGCTGCCAAAAGTTGTCATAACTTGTCACTTGGTGAGCAAATATGGAAGAAATTTGAGACTCCCAGTTGTTTTGGACATCACTGTCACATTTCTCCTGTAGTTTTTATGATGACTGACTAATCCCAAGTTGATTTTGCCAACCAATTGACTGACTTTTGTCATTTTGTAAGGATTTCCAGTTACCAGTACAGGGTAGTGCAAAAAATTAAGGAAACCCACTTTTGACAGCAGTTTTCAACTACTTGCTGAACATGTTTCAAAAATTCAATTTAATGGTATTGAAATATTGATCTTTTAACATAAGTGACCAAAACAAATGATTGCAATTATGCATATTTTGTCTCTGAGATGTGGTAGTTTAAAAATTTCATGTGCCAAACCTGTTTGTCTACGGACGGTTATATTCCATCAGCTTGACTGGGCTCCGGAGCTTGATTTGAAGACAAAAAATACTACACTAGAGTTACATGTGGACAACAGTGATTTTGGTGACTTATATTCAAATTAATAACACTATTCTTGAGATTTTTAAAAAGATTTTGTCATCAAAAGAAGAGTTGAAGAGCTATACTTCACTACATTATAAAAAAAAGTTCAAATAAAGTTAAGTAAGTAGGTTAAAACTCCTGTCAAAAGTGGGTTTCCTTCTTTTTGCACCACCCTGTATTGGCATTGTTTGACTTGATTTTACCTTTGAATTTCTCTATTCCAATAATCAGTTTTGAAACACAAAAGTAGAGCAACACTGTCTGTTCACTACTTCCGAAATTTATTCCATAAAAGTTTAATTCAACCATCACTTATAAGCGGGGAATTTCACACAATGAAAATTATATCCAATTTTTTTTTTATAAACAGCAAATGTACAAAGGAGCACAATAGTAGATATCAACTCAAATAACATCTCATTCAGCATTATTCAAATGTACAAATTATGATATTTACATTACAAACAAATTATTTAATAATAACATAATTTTTGGTGGTTTTTTTTTTTTTGAGAAAACCAAAATTTACCTTGTGAGCATAGAAATATTTAAGCCAGGAAAATAGCTTTAATCCACAAAAAGGTGTGTCACTTCGGATACACAATTTCTTCCATTATGCAAAACATTTTTTTTTTTTGGAGAAAACCAAAATGTACCTTGTAAGCACAGAAGTATTTGAGAATTAAAATACAAAAAAGGGTGTGTCACTTCAGGTACAAACTTTCTTCCATTATACAAAACACGTTCATGCAATTATAGTTTGTATTGCAAAAAGCAGTTTGATAGATTTCTTACTACACAAACGGTAGGGACAACAAAGAATCACTACTATTTTATTTGTTTTTAATATAAACCTCACTAACTTAGAACCTTGATTTTGATTTTGAAATTGATTTTCTTCTGTATAGTTTCCTTTCACATCAGACTTAGGTTTTACTCTCAGTTTATGTGCTTGACAGGTACCGGTATGCATGTACATAATGTCAACTGTTCCATAAAATGTTTGTGCAACACATTTCTTGTACTTTTACACACAATTATATGGACTAACAAAAGGGCAACAATGTTATCATAACATGCGGCACCCTCAACTGACGGGATTGGCTAATGGAACAACTTTTTTTCATAGAATTACTGTATTAGTATTCCACCAAAAAAAATGCATTTTGAGATTGCTTTCTAACATCATGTTGTAATTCTCCAAAATGATTTAAATTTCTTATTGTGTGCTTGATAATTTTAACACATTGACTTCTTTAATGAAAGTACATGTAGACCGATTTCACAATTCTGGACTCTACCCACCCATACAGGAAGAGTTTTCTAATTTGAAATGTGGTTATTGCGTAGTTAATTTTTACATGTATGTACACATTCCTACCAAGGATAAAAATAGAAAAGAATATAGTGGTATTATTTAGTGTTTTGATTTGTTTTTGCTTCCATGTATTTAAAATACGCGTAGTTGTGCAAAAATCAATCACATTCTTTTGGTTTTTCTACATTATTTGCTTTTCGAATCAAATTTCTGTTTGAAAAATATACATGTGAATTTAAACTTTTCTTATACTTCTGGTAGTCAGCCACCATTTTTGACTGGTGAACCTTTAATTCAAGTGCATAGATATCACCGCAATGTGAGGGGAACCGATGAAAACAAATTGCACTTCTGAGTGCACCAAATCTATTTAAGCCCATTTCTCACAGTCACCGGTGGTTGTAAACGTAAAGTTCATTTTACAAATTATCCTGGAACGTGAAGTTTAGTTTATCAATTATCCAAAGGACCCTTGGAACATTAATTCAGGATTTTTTTGTGAAGAAAACCACTACATTGTAGAGGCTAACAAACTCAACTTGAGACCACGGTTGGAATCCCTTCTGATACACTGAGTAGGATTCTAAACCCTGGACACAAGATGTCTGAGGCAGGAAAGGAACAACTTCACCTGAAACTATCCACACCCACCTTTCCAAAAAAAACTCAGTATGCATGGCCAAAACTTAAATCTTAATTTGTATACATTACAGACACTCTCTTGCGAGAAAGTGATCCAGGTCTTTGTTCACAACCCCCCCCCCCCCACCCCACCCCCCACCCCACCCCATCCCACATGAGGGGGGGGGTCTTGTACATAAAACTTTAAGGGATGTCACATGACTAAGGCTCGCTCAATGACGGCCATCTCTGTAGGAGAACTGCAGCTGCGTATTTTACGCAATCAAGCACGCATTGCGCAGTGTTGAAAATGTTCCAAACACGCGCGCGCTAGTTGCTCGAAATGTGTTCGAATTACCACGCAGCCGATGCGCGTTATGCAAGTTGACGCTCAAACTGCTGATGCACGTGGATGGTCTGTAGGAAATGACGTCATTTGAACGAGGCCTATTACTTAGCTGGCAGTTTGCACAGGATAAACTTTGTGCGGCCTCCTATATCCAGACAATGTTTAAAGAAAGCATGCTTGTAATGAGTTCCAATCGCATGTGTGTTTTTTCCTGTTTCACGGCCCTCAGATTCAAACACAAACACAGTTTTCAGTGTCCAATACAATTTCGCCTTTGGAGCAACCAAAAGCCAGATCTCTCAAACTACTGAGCCGTTTGTTTGTGCCGTAAATTCTCTGACTCTCCATAGCACCCTGAAAAAAAGCACAACTATATCTTTTTTTTCAAGACCTGTTCCCTTTTTCATGATGATTGTACATGTAGGTCGATGTTGATTGCCTACCTCACAAGCCTCAGGGTAGTGTGAGAGACCAATTTTTTGATTGCCTCCCTTGCTCCAGAGCAATTTGCAACAGCCTTGCACTGAGGTCACTGTTATAGGTGTGTGGTGAAGGTCTGCTGAATGTACCTCATAAATCTCTCTATTCATAACCATGGCCTGTCCTCTTTCAAATTACCTATGAGAAATTGCTCTGCCACTTTTTTCTTTCCTTCACTTGTTCTTTCTGGATGCAGCAGTTTGTTGAACTCAGTTGTGTCATCCCTTCATTCAGCCCCATAAATATTGTCAGTAGCTTTCATTCTGTATAGTGGTGTTTTTTTTTAAAGAGTTCTTCACCTATCTATTGCAAAGCTCTTTGAAAGATTTTTATTTTGTAGTTCATTAAACCTTGGACCAACAAGTTGATGGAGCTGCTTATTAACACAAACATTTGCTGAGAACAGAAAAATGTATAAGATGGAATTTGCGTCAAGGAGATGTATGTACATGTATGTATTTTATAAACAATCCAAAAATTTGAACTTCATTCCAAATAAGAGAGTCGATACTACATTTTGTATAACTCTTGCATTCATAACATAATATTTAACCCATATGTACATACATATGTACATAAGCTGGTAAAAAGTGAAAAGCTGTACAGATCATACTACATATATGATCAAACGTAAAAGAAAGAAGTTTTTATGTTGATTGGCTCTGTGCGACAACGACTGGGGGCGCTTTGTGGCCCACTCGTGAGAGCCAACTCAAGTGAGAGTATTTGACATCTCATAAATGAATGATTTGCAGTCCTGATTCAATGAAGTAATCCTAGATGGCAATGTATTGACTACTCATGTGGAGGAGTGAGGACACTCACTGATTCCCTCAATGGTGAATGCTGGAGAGAGATGACAGACACATGAATGTCATTGTCACCCTACAGTTGTCATTGTCAACCTGCAAAGATGCTTTTGGCTTGTTCACATTCAGATGGAAATTGGTTGTGCACACTCTGGGCCATACGCGCTTAATCTAGGCACACGATGTCTATACACATCCAACTTATATAACGTAAAAGGGACTTTAAGTGTCCTCGTTTTACAGGATACATGTATGTTGCATGTTTGCTAGAAGCCAAAAATATGCACAAACAGAGCTCAAGTCCATGAATGGCTGTGGGGCCAAGTATCAGTGTCTTAATAAGTAAATGCAAATCCACAAGCACCAGACTAATGTCTGCAGAGCGTAGCATGTCCTGAGTCTGGTACCACTATTCTCCTCATTATTCTCGTACGTCACAGTAATGTCAATGAGGGGGTTGACCCCAGCACAGTGTCTCAGAGGGCTCTGATAAGACGTTGGTTTCTCCAGCGAAAGGTCCCCGTCTGTGGGACGTTCTCTGTTGAAGAGGAGCGCTTTCCCATCCCGGCCTTGCTCCATTCTCATGAGTTCGCTCTCAGTGTGAGGGAGCGTGATTCCGATCACCGAGCACCCACCGGTACCCGTCACCTCCTGTGGTTGGTTCAGCCTCCAGGAACCAGCCGCACCGCAGTCGTCGTCGTTCTTGTTAAACTTCACCACCTCCTCGGAATTCTTGGGCGTGACCCACATCTGGGAAGTCACAAACTCAAACTCCGTTCCACCCGTGACGATTTCGGACATAGTGCCGTCCGAATGCGCCCCCTTGACGTAGATGCTGTACACGGGGTGCTGACACATGGGGTCGCGAAAATAGAAGAAATACCCCTCCCAGGTGTAGTTGTTGTGGAAGACCAGGTGACGGATGACGAAGTGGATCTTGCGGACCTCGCAGCGTGTGCTGACCCACTCGCTTCGCAGCGACACCTGGTACTCGGTCCTGGCCGGTAACAGGGGTGGATTGAACTCTTCTGTGTTGTGGATCAGCTGGCAGAAACTACAGTTGGCCTGAAAGGAAAAAAAATGCATCCTTTAGTTCTCCTGCACTCCAACACAAGCTCTTTAATTAATGCAAACAAGGAATTCTGGTGTCTGTTCATCCATAGAGTCAAATTAGCATGAACAGAAAATGTTTTCAAGGAATCTGTCATGAACATTTGAAAACATCAATTTCTGGGACTTCAGTTGATCACGGATGCTCATCATATTGTCTGAAAGTGGATAAAAATAATCATGTTGATAACCTTGTAATCCTACAAAAGCCTGTTTTCTTTTATAAGCACTTGAGAGCCAAGTATGACAGCAATCTGGAAAAACAAACAAGAAAGCCCTGTCTTTAGTAGGGGGTCAGTTGTCACTTGTTAAGTATTTCTTCACTTTTCCACAGGTATGTAAGAGTTTTGAAATCAGCATTCCATTAACTTTCTGTCAACTTCACACCTCAACAGAATTATTGTATAGGCCTTCAGAACAACATTCCACAATCTGAAATTCTTTTCAAGGAGATATTAATTGGACCAAATAGGCTAGCCTTGTACAGTTATAGAAGAGGAATCGGACAGATTTATGCGTCAGGGCCAAACTTGTAAAATGTTTCTCTGTAAAATCTTTCAAATTTTTAAGGTTTGAATATCAGATGGAGCTGGCCAACCCTTGAGGGGTGATCTTTTCACACCAACACAACTCAATCCATGGCCTTCTGTGTACGTGCCACTGTGCGTTTTATTTTCTACAAACCGGCTTCCACCAAAAAAAAGAAAAAATCAATGTCGCTGCCACCTGTGCAGTTTCGGCCCGCGCGCAAGTCCATCGATTTGCCCAGCCTACCTGCAGAGAAACCAACCGCAAATTTCTGGCTTCATAATTAATTGATATGACTATCCGGTTATGAAAATATTGACCAGGGGATAGTTCATGCGCGAATCATGAGCAACGCTAATTGATTTGGAGGAATTATACCTGCATTAGCCCCTCTTTATAAAGTTGTTATGCTGCTTGTCCAGTGTGCAGTCTGGAATTAGCCAGTGTTTGATAGCTGTGTTTACTTTAGTTCAGGCTTTTATAGTAAGATTAGTTCAGGTTTCAATTTTTTTCTCTTCGTTGATAATCCTAGATTCTCTTCAGCTGAGTTTAAAAAACTAGGGGGGGTTCAAAAACCAGGGGGGTAACCCCCGCCCCTGTTCAGTGGCTAAAAGATTTGATGGTACTTGTAAAAAGGAGCCAAAAATAGTAAAATTTGACTCAAAAATGCTAAATTTATTCTTCGAGTTTGAAAGCCAGTGGTCCTATTCAGAGTTTTCTTGAAGAGAAACTTTTCAAAGGAACTTGCCATAAGCTTCCCCCACAAGCCTATAATTGTCTCACAGAGTGGAAAGCTCTACCCACACCTGCATGTGGAACGCCGATCCAAATTTGTCCCTACCTTCCGTCATTAGTACGCCTTAACGCTTACAAAAATATCACACCGACCGATTCAATCAGAATTTGCGTACGCCTGAACTGGAGTCCAAATAAGAAATTGTGGTCACAGAAAAAAAAAATATATAACGTGAGAAGATTATTTTACAGATGAGGGGTAGGGAAGGGAGGCGATGTGATAGCGGGTTTGGGGTGTCTATGTTTGGGCAGCTGTCAAAATTCGGGGGTTTTGTGTTTCCCCTTGCACACTTGATTAGAATCCAATCTCTGGGTGTGTTGGGGACCGTGATGAGAATTATGGACTGTATGCGAGTGAACAGAAGATGGTGTTTTGTGCGCAATTGTGAGCTCCGTGTGTTAGACACACTGCATGTGCATGTTCATCAAGCGCGTATGGCATGTGCATGTTCATCAAGCGCGTATGGCGCACACTTTCTAAAGACAGATTTTATTGTGAATGATGTACATGTATCATTAAACCTAACAACCTGAACAGAAGATGACGTTTTGTGCGCAATTGTGAGAGCTGCATGTGTTAGGCACACTGCATGTGTGTGTTCATCAAGCGTGTATGGCGCACACTTTCTAAAGACACATTTTATTCTGAATGTACGTGTACACGAACCCTTACCACAATGCATTTAATAGGGACCTGCCTAACTCCTTACAGTGTACATGTATCATTAAACCTAACAACTCATTGTCTTTGGTTGCTTGTATCAAACAATGTATACATTTAGTGTTCTGGAATAACATGTTGTACATATCCCGTAAAAAAAACTACAGCGTAAAGTTTCATAAACATGTAGTTAATGTGAATGCATTTTGAAATACTTGTTTTCAACTCTTTTTCAAAATATAGAATTGACTGGGCATTATGAACAAATCTGAATCTAAATAGCTTATATTATCATCACTTCATTGGTAAAGAATAAAGTCAAAGATTCACATCTCAGAATCAGACCTAAGCCTAAAATGTGTCAAATATCCCGATACGTCAAATTATGATATCTGCGGGTATATCGTTTCCAAGCCTATAGCTTAATCTTTTCCGTTGATGGTAATCCATCTGGATATTTGAGTCCCGCCGACTATATCATGCTTCGACCTCGGTTCAAATTCACTCGGCGGATCACTTTCCCCTGCGATGATTGAAACATAACGAGCAGCCTTGTCCCTACATGTTTGTACAGAGTAATCAAAGAACCGTCACTGTGACGGGTGCCGATGAACGCATGCAATGTGCTCATCATGCGTGCGTTGTCGCAGCACATGCAGTGCTTGTACAGCTAATATGAGTAATGCGTAATCTCTATGCAGGCCCGGAGGCCCGTTTTCCGCCGGGTGCAATAAACCAGTTTTTCCCCCATTTCCGCAACTCCACATCAGCGATCAGGCAAATCATTCTGCAGCACCCACTGCTCCGAGCATCTTCTTAAAGGGAGAATCCGACAACAAAATCTCTTGAATGATCAGAAATGCATTACAATTGGGACAGTTTTATTTTTGTCCATTTTTTTCTTTCAGTAAGAGTTTGGTGGTTATTGATTGTAAAAACACCATGAATAATTCAATACTTATCATGATCTAGGCCAAATTTCACGGAGCTGGTAATCAGAAAATATTGCTTATCAAATATACGTGATAAACGAAAAACAGCTTCGGGACAATCAACATGAAAGTCCATGGAAAATAAGAAATGTATTAAAATAAGAAATTTATTTTTGTACATTAAAAAAAAATTATTGGGGGAGCTGATAAGAGTTTGGTTATCGATTATGAAAAACCGTGAATAATATCAGTACTTTTCATCCAGGCTCAATTTGTAGGGGCTGCTGATCAAGAAATATTTCCTGATAAAATTGATGAGCAAATTAATGTGTCTAGTGAAAAATGACTTCAGCCTCTTTTAGAATTTATACTCAAATTAGATTGGTCGTCCAAGTTCCTGTTTTTTTTTTCTCACACATACATAATATTCCACTTAAAATAATGCTGGTACGTAGATACACGTGCAAAGTTGGTTAAATCATGGCGATTGAAAAAATCCAGAGTCTGGCACTGACTCTTCGAGATTTCAAGATGTCTTAATTGACTCTCTTTGGGATGAGGAGTTCACTAAAAGCATTTTGTCCCGTTCCTCGGGCCTCTAAATGAATTAAAGCTTTCTCCGGGACTTGATCAGTGAAAATTGGCTTGAAAAAAGCAGCAGCCTGGTCTGAAACACGTGTCAGTATATTACACCCACGGCCGCTCGGCTTTACTACGGTGATCGATGAAGAAGAAAGGCAGTAGAACTTAATGTTTCCTGCAGAGGAAAAAGTTGTCGTGGACAAAAGAGATAAACAGAGAGGAATTGATGATGGTTTCCCACATGCACTTAAACTAAATGCTCGGAAGCTTGTTCTCTTTTTCTTATGTTGCTCACACATGCTTAGCTTTCCGCACGCATCGTCTCAGAGAGCCCCTGTTCCTCTCCAGGTTGCAATTTCGTGGAGAACCAAGGAAATGTCAGGGACATAATAATCCTCTTCATCCTGAAGTATTGACACTGCTTGATGCTCCCTCCATCTACCCCAACTCCCACACAAAAAAGTCTCTGGTATACAACTTAAAAAACCCTGGAAAACCATTAAAAAAAGGAAAGGATGTAATCTTTCCACCACATACAACAACAGTCTCCGTTGTTGATCTTCACTTTGCCGTCTTGTGTCCATATCGCTGTGTTTTTGATGTCCCCCTCCCAAAAGGCCAGATATTTACCTGGGTTTTTTTCTGCGGAAGATTTCTTGCAGAGTACCAGGTCTCATCCTAGACATCAGGATGAAGATGGATGTTTGTGTAACCCCTCAAGGGTTTTACAGCCAGGCTTTCTCCTTCTTTTTTTCTCTCTTTAAGTCCCTGTCCTATCTTGGGACTGTTCTCCTCTATCTTTCCCAATCTTTTTAATGAAACAAGAGTGGAGGGAATCCATATCCTGTCTTCTTTGTTGATCTTGTTAATCCTCTTAGCAAGTTTGTAATTACTTGAGGGGGATGTTTTGAGGGCATTTTGTTAATTTGAAAAGGATGGGCAGCGTGTTTGGTCTTCAAATATTATTCCACAAACAGTTATTCACACTAGCGGTGTGATAATCATCTTTAAAGCAGTCAGCAGTAGTATATCCTCTTTACAGTGTACTGTAAAAAAACCCAATGGTTTCAGAGCTAGCTGATGGTAGTTGAGCTTCTTTTTTATTGGTCATTGTTTTTTTACTCAATAGGTTTTGTGCATGAGACACCTTTTGTCACTGTTTTATAGGAACTTCTTAAAACTTACCACTTCTAAAAGATTTCTGATGACAGTAATTTAGTTGCATCTGTCACAAGTCCTAACAGATCCATCACAAGTCCTCTCAAGTCCATCACAAGTCCTCACAGGTCCATCACAAGTCCATCACAAGTCCTCACAAGTCCATCAAAAGTCCTCACAGGTCAATCACAAGTCCTCACAAGTCCATCACAAGTCCTGACAAGTCCATCACAAGTCCTCACAGGTCAATCACAAGTCCTCACAAGTCCATCACAAGTCCTGACAAGTCCATCACAAGT